TGTTTTGCTTGTGACTGTAAGTTTTCAGGTTTGTTCACCCTGGAGATTGGTTGCCCTTACATTAATTGCCCTGCCCCTACTTCCCTGTAGTCAGGGAGGATTTGCTGCTTAAGAAAACACTGGTAGGGGCCCGGGGATGCAGCTCAGTGGCACAGTGCCTGCCTGGCAAGTGCAAGGTCCTGAGTTCGCTTCCTGGTACCAAAAACCAAAAAAAAAGAAAAAGAAAACCCTGGTGGTTTCCACTTAGAATGGATTTGGGATAGGAAGGATGGTGATAGATTTACTAGAATTTCTTTGAAATTTAGAAGGGTTTCTAAAATGTAGCCTTATCAATTCTGGAAGTTTCTTTCTAAGGGAGTGTGTGGGTCAGTGGGGCTTTTGTGAACTTCCACCATGATGTACAGAGTAAGACGGTACAGAAGGTGAGGGTGTAACCTATAAATTTCATCTTCGGACACTTGTGACATAGATCCCGGATTCAGGTATGGCTCTGTGTGCAAATAAATATGCTGGTGGAAGGCTGAATCCTTGGTTTTGATGAGTATAGGAACCTCATATTACATGATGTAGAAAAAATTGTCTCTGAAGCAAACAACCCAGTCAGATCATGCTAAAAGGAGATAGCATTGCTCTACTACCAGGTGTCTCCAACTGGAAATGGTCCCTGAAATGATGAATTGTTGAGAAGGTAATTGTTTTTTAGGTGTCTTTTGAATAGGAAAATCTAATACAGTAATTTCTATAATACATTATTTTCCTACGTGCTAGGTTGGATCTGTTGGGTAAGTGGTATGAATGTGTGAATCTTTACCCTACCCTTTTGTTGTTGTTTTTCTGGGAGTTGAACCCATTTTCACACAGAGCTACATCCCCAGCCCCCCCCCTTTTTTTTGTTTTTTTCCAGTACCGGGGATTGAACTCATGACTTTGCGCTTGCCAGGCAGGCACTGTGCCGCTGAGCTAAATCCCCAGCCCCTGCCAGCCGCTTTTTATCATTTTTTTGAGACAGGGACTCACTAAGTTGCCCAGGCTGGGCTTAAGCTTGCAATCCTCTTGCCTCAGCCTTCCAGAGTGTGGTGATTACAAATATGTGCCAGCATACTGGGCCTTTACCTTACTATTTATATGCAGCTTTTTTTCATTTTGAGTCCTAGGTGTTTACGGTTTGGGCATTTTAACATGGGAGATAGGTATGTGCCACATCCACAGTTTTGTTAATTATTCTGTGATCGACATCTTATTACCTTTGCAAAAGCCGGACATGGTGGCGCACGCCTGTAATCCCAGCACTCAGGAGGCTGAGGCAGGAGGATCACTGTGAGTATGAGACCAGCCTGGGCTACAAAGTGAGCTCAGGGCCAGCCTGAAGTGCATAGTGAGACCCTGTCTCAAAAAGACAAAAACAAAACAAAACATCTTACTACCTTTGCAAACAGATTCCTAAAACATTGACTGTCACTTATGTGCAATGGCAGTAATAATAATTTCCTAACATTTCCTTTCAAAGATCAGTGTATTAATGTATTACAGATAAAAGTTATTTGGTAATTACCTTTTAAATTTTTATTTCTATTAAAAATAATTTTTTTAAAGAAAACTTAAATACGTGTAATCCTGGCACTGTGGGAAGTGCAGGCAGGAGGATTGTCCAGTTCAGGCCAAGCCTAGGCAACTAGTGACTTAAGGAGATCCTATCTCAAAATAAAAAATGAAAAATTAGGCTAGGGACATAACTCAGTGCAAAGGCCCCGAGTTGCACCCCCAGTACCGCACACACAAAATTTAAATACAACTCTAGATGTAACGGGTATTTATAAGGCAATACTTAGACTGTGGTTGCTCTGGTGGGGATTTTGAAAAGCTTTTTCATTTTTATATTAAACTACTTAAAGAGAAGCACCCTCTTGGAATATAGTATGTACTATCAAACACCCCTCATACCTCATGATCATTCACATCCAAGGAGAAACAGTGTCAGAATTAAGTGTGACCCCACCTTAACTTTCCAGGCAAGTGGTCCCCAAATGTAGCTTCTCTTCAGAATTACCTGGTGACTTTTTAAAATGTAGATTCCCAGGCCTTGACACAGAGCTACTGCCTAGAATCTTCACGGGTTCATTTCACAGTCCTCACTTTTTTTAACTAGGTATAAATTCTATACACAACCATGTCTGGGAACCACTTGAGGCCTCCTAGTTCCTAATTTAACAACAGCAGCAGCAGCAGAAAAAGCAAAACACACACACACACACACACACACACACACACCAAAGCAAAAACATGTCCCTCAGTATAATTGACTGCATGTTGCGAACTTTATCATGGGTCAGAGGATTGTTCCATTTAGCACATGTTTACTAAAGGTGTATGTGACATGCTAGGAGAATTTGTAAAGATTTTTACCATACAGATTTTGCCATGAATGCCACCAAACTTCTTTTAGCTAACTGGTGTATATGAGTCTACCTTGTGATGTCTTGAGTTTTTCAAATATTTGTCATGTGACTTTTTTATCATAGGATTCTTAATTATAACATTAATACACTAAATTTATTGTGATGCTTAAAAAATTCTTCCTTGCTTGTGGTTTTAGAAACCATCCTGAGTCTTTGAATTTGCATGTGGCTGCTTCTGCCTAGGCTCTGCTGCCTTCCACATGTTGGATTTGTGCAGCACATTCCCATGCCATCCGGTGAATACCAGGAATCGCGTGGGCTTAGTGTCTTTTCCTGCTTTATAGTGAAAGGAGCCTTGGAAGTTGGCTTTGTGCTATCATGTCACTAGGTGGAGATGTAGCATTGTTTGGTGGCGTAGTCAGAGCAAAAAGAATGAGTCTTGATTTCCTTTTACGGAAGTGCCTCACAGATATTTGTCCAGGTTTACTCTATCCTACAAAACATTTGCAAATTTGGTATGATTTAAAACTTCAACTTTCTTTTTTCAGGGTTGAAATTCAGTCCAACTTTAAAGTCTATTTTCCCACGGATCAATTCTTTTTTGAATTTTTCTTCTTTTTCTGCCATTTCCTTTTTGCTGTCCCTTATTATTTCATGTCATCAGAATTATTCTGATGTTGCTTCCTTTGGTTCTTTGTGGTGATTTAATTCTAAGAGTTTAATAAAATTATAAGAATTTTTTTCTCTGAAGTGAAATAATATGCAGAATTCCAATTTGGTAGCAATATTAGATAAATGAACTGAACTTACAGTCTGAGCACATCCTAATCTTATCTTTTTACTATTTTAGACTAATAATGTCAAATTTTAGCAAATTTAAAATTTGTTGGGCTTATTTTCCTCCTTTTTTCCTTTATTATTTCTCTTGCCTCTTGAATCTTAAACAAGTATCTTTTCTACGCACGGTATTGATGTGGGAATAGAGAAAAAGAGCACAATCTTGTCTGTAAGGATCTGATACATAGCGGAGAACACTGAAAATGCACCCATGAAGGAGTTTAATGTAATTTGATTGCCTGATCTTTAGCAATTATAAGGTAAAACTACAAAACAAAACAAAACTTGCTCTGGCAAACAGCCTGGCATTTCCTCAGACTCCACAAGTGCAGAGCTACCACGTGATCCAGCAGTTTCCTTTGCCTAAGTATACACCCAAGAGAAATGAAAACATGTTTACACAAAACCTTGACATGGATATTCCTAGCAGCATTGTTCATAATAGCCAAAAGTGGAGACAGCCCACGTGTCTTATTAACTGATGAGTGGATGAAGAAATATAGTTTATGGATATGATGGACGATTAGCAATAAAAATGAAGTACTGATTCATGCTACAACACGTATGACCCTTGAAAACATGCTAAGTGAGAGAAGCTAATCCCCAAAAAACATACATTATGTAGTTCTACTTACCAGTATACAAAATGTCTAGAATACCAAATCTGTTGGAGGCAAAGCAGCTCCGTGGTGCTTAGGGCTGGGTAGAGAAGAATCGCTGTCAGTGGGTATGGAGCTTCTTTTTGTAGTAATGAATATATTGTACACTTGATTGTGGTGATAGGCGCACAGCTTGGCACATTTACTCAATACCGCTTGGCTGTATTGTACACTACCAGTAGGTGGATTTTATGGGACTGGAATTACATTTCAGTGAAATTTTCAAAAGAAAGTTATCAAAAGGTTTAAAATTTATCTAATTAAGGAATATTTATTAACCATCTACATAGGCACTGTACTAAGTTCTGTGCATGTTATACAACAAGTGTAAGGTACAAGGCCTCAGGTTCTTTGTTGTTGTTTCTTATTTTTAAGATTATTTACAGCTCAAGACAAAAAAGGTATTACGTCATGAGACACTTCGCTTCCTGAATTTGCTCCCCGTCTCTTGAACCTCTTGAATCCCCTCTTTCAGCTATTTCTGTAATAACTCTGATCTTACCTGGTTTTTTTTCCTTTGAAAAGTGAACTGTTTCCCCTCAGATTTTGATGAATATTAACCCCAACTTGTTACCTTCTATGAACTTAGCGGACATTTTAAAGTGACAGTGGTGTCTCCAATAACTTAAATTGTGCAATTCATGAAAACTCATTCATTCAGCAAATACTTATTGATGTTTTGTATGAGCAACCAGCACATCATAAGGCTGTTGGTGTTATTATTTTTAAATTACAACAAATATCTTTTTGCTACAATTTAGTCAGATTGCATGGTGTTTGGAAGTATAGTCTTGAGTTTATAGATTTTCATGAAAAATAGTTAAAAGTTAAACAAATATGTGCTTGGCATAGAACTAACCATGTTATTATTAGTTTAGTATTTTTGACATTGTTGTGGCTATTAACACTTGAAGGAAAGAGAAATTTTGTTTTGGTCCATTCTAACTTATTAAAGCCAAGAAGCTATTTTTAAAAGCTAGTAGTTTTAACTCTAAGTGTATCGGTTTAAAAGTTTGTCATTTTCATATATCTGTGTTTCTATGTATGCACACATACGTTTGTGCCTGTGTCATTAGTAAAGCTGCTGAATTTTTCTCTTACTTTGCAGATGCGTATGAAACAGCCAAGATGCTGTGTGAACAGTATTACCTGGTAGCTCCAGAGCTGGAAATTGAAGAATTTAATGGTAAAAGAAAAATAATTTTCAACTTAAGTACAAAGAAAATGGCTTAAAAAACTGATGATACCAGAGGTCTATTTTAGTAAGATCCTAAAATTGTCCTGCTTTTTCATCTTTTGTCTTTTAAAACCTTTCTCTCTATACCTTTGGTCAGTCAGGAATATTGTTGCGAGGACTTTTTGTGCAGGAATGTGTAACATGTTAGAGTGCCAAGTTCTCAGAACAAACAATCAAGGAAGAAGATCCACAAAGTCATAAATAGGCAGTTTTCAAAATAAGAAATGCAAGCAGTCAACACATGCAAAAGTGTTAACTTTATCGATCAGAGAGGTGCCACTTCTGTCTTTTTTTTTTTCGTCTTTTTGAGACAGGGTCTCACTATGCAGTTTGGGCTGGCCTTGAGCTCACTTTGTAGCCCAGGTTGGTTTTGAACTTGCAGGGATCCTCCTGCCTCAGCCTCCCAAGTGCTGGGATTATAGGTGTACACCATGACGCCTGGCCACTTTTGTCTTTCAAAATGACAATTATAACATTTTAATGCTTTGAATTTGGGCCCAGAAAAATACTTTCTCCCTAACACATACATTTCTTGTATACATAAATTAATATAGCCTTTCTCAAAAATGCTACCAATATCTTTTCTATTTGACCCAGTAAATTAAATTAATAATGATCATGTTTCTTTGGTCCAGTAAATTAAATTTCAGAAAAAATAGTATAAGAAAATAGAGATTTACACAGATTTATATACAAGAATGATAATCTCAGGAGTCTTCTTATAGAGCAAGTTGAAAAAAAACCCATTTTCCACATTATAGGATTATTTAAATAAATGGCAAAATGCCCATAAGATAAAATATTATGCAGGTGTTCAAAGTTACGCTTTAAAGAAATAACATGGGGAAAGTTGAGGATTTTTAAATATATGGGCTATAAAAGTTTATGAAAGTGCAAACTCATTGGGAAATACTTTAAAGTATTCTTAGTCCCAGAATAAAACAACAGCCCTCTTATAGCTGATTTGTTATAATTCTGTATTTATAGAATATAATTCTATATTTATTTACAAGTTATTTTGAGTTTCTAACCATTTCCTTTTGGGTGAATGCTTAGGGTTCCTCATTTTCCTATAGTCCAGACAATGAGTGGGTGGAGGGAGTGGGAGGCAGTGAGAATTTGTGAATGTGTGGAAATATTTCTGTAGGTTAGATTCCTGCCCATAGAATGACTGATTCTTAGGGTATGAAAGAAAAAGCACGCAGAAATATTCTTAGGGTGTGAGTATTTATTATTAATGATAAACTAAATTCAATTCCCTCTCAAAAATATACTTCACACTGCCATTGAAGGACAGTTGCCCCTACATTCTACTAAAATATGTGATGTCAGAGCCACTTTCAAAGTCTCTTGGGTTCTGTAAGTAGGGTTGTGCCTCTGTCTTGAATGAATTATGTGATGTCTTGGTTACTTTTCTGTCATTGCCGAGACAAAATACCCAATGCACAAAACTAAAGAAGGGAAGGTTTATTTAGCTCACAGTTTGTGGAGGTTTCAGTCCATACTCGGCTGGCTCCAAGGCAGCATGGTACATGTCAGAGGGCAACAGTTAAAGGCAGTGGAAGACAGCAAAAAGAACAAGAGCAAAAGGGGAGGGCAGCAGTGGCTGAGAGCAAGCCTTTTTCCCTCCCTTACATTGTATGCAAACTACCCACCCCAGGGCGGGTGTAGCGCTCACACCCATAATCCCAGCATTGGACCATGAATCAATCACAAACTCTAGAAGCCTGCCCATGACTGCACGATGACCTGAGGGGGACGTCCAGACACAATCCATAACAAATGGCTACACTGGAACTAAGTGTACTTAGCTTGGGTATTTCTAATTAGAAGCATTTTAATACTCTCTTTCCTCCTACTGGCTAGGTGGGACATGACCTAAGTATCCAGATTCATATTTTTCAAATGATGACACTTAAAATTGCAGGTAATAAAAATACGTCCTTTAGGTGCATAGCAGCCTTCCTCGTTCTGCAGGCTGGAGCAGCGCAGCTGTTGTTGTTGCCGCAGAGCCATTCTGTCATTCTGGGCAGTGCAGCCACCACCGTGACAGGAGCTTCATAGCTACCTTTGGCATGATCTCATAAATGATAGAACCCCTTTTATATCACATTTTGAAGCCCCATTCCCCATCACTGAGAGAAATGAGTGCTTCTGGTTATAGATAACCTCTAATTTTCCATTGGATCAGGTAATGTAGTTATGATTCATATCTATGACTTCTTGAATGCCAAAGCTCTTTATAAGCATGACTAAGAAATTCACTTTAGCTCTGATAAGTTCTGTGTTAGAGATGCAGGTTGAAGTTTGGTCCTAAACACCTTAAGTAGATGCTTTTGCTTCATAAGGAGAGAGCATGTGTGCTTCTCACAGTGTGACAGCCGACTGCATTTTCTAGGGAGGAATTAGAACCAGGTTTATATGGATTCACTGTCAGAGCTCACCTGAACTACACAGTGTCCCCTTTCGAGGTGTTTCCATCACACAATGGGTGCCTTTAACCGTACAGTGCTTGCGGCTCAGCCCTTCAAAACATATGAGGCTGCCATTAGCCAAAGAACAATTTATTGCTCCCTGAGGACTGAAATTCTGCTAGTTTGCTATATTATCTGTTATTTCTGAATTTTTGGAGAGTGTTTCCCTTTCCCAATGTGGCTCTCTACAAAAGCAGCGACTAGGACTATGTAGAATACACAGTGGCAACATCAGCAAATTCTGGATACTGCTAGGGTAAATTTGCTTCATTTTCCTTTCTATGGCATATTTAATAGGAACATTAAAAATAACAGAATTTTGTTGATCTTAGATCAAGTTTCAAATATATTCATCTTTTCTTACTTTCCTTCTTTAGTGCTGGGGATTGAACCCTGGGATCACACGTACTAAGCACGTGCTGTATCTCTGAGCTGCACCTCCAGCCTGGTCTCACATATTCTGACTATCCCTCTGTGGAAGCTCATGACCGGTTTCTCCAAAGTCCAGAAGCAATCTCATCATACTGGTTCTCATTCTTTTGTAATTCTCATTCTTTTGCCAAAGCATTAAGCAGATAAACATTTTTATCTTACCTTTTTTCCATCCATGGGGTCAGGCAGTGTGGCTTAGGGGAAAGATGGGAACTGTGTACCTCACCTGTCAATGGGCATCCTGACTCTGACACACAGTGTGGGCCCTAGACAGATCACTTGGCCTCTAACAGTCTAGTTCCTCATCTGTAAGCTTGCTCTGCAGGGTGGTAGAAGGAAAATGTCTCCAGTACCTTAAAATTGTGCCTTAAATATTGACACTGGGCATGTACTGCATAGTTAAAGGGTAGCTACTGGAAGTCAGGGTTGACTTGGAAGAGATAAGATTTAAGCCCCTACTAACATCTCTTTATTATTTCCACATTAGTCATTCCTTTTAAGAAGGTGATTTATATCTTTGAGTTTGGTGGGAAGCACAAAAATTTCAATTCGTAACATGATAATTTTTTATGGGGAGTTCATAGAAAAGCAATGAGTCCACCCTGGGATCTTTGACTTCTAGGTTCCCCATATTGGGTACTTTCAATCAAGAAGTTCCATACAGCAATCGACAAGCCATTACCGGTAGCTCTGTTAACACTGAGAAATTCATGTTTAGTGATGGTACTGGCCTGTATGTGCTATTTACTGTGTGGGAGGCTGTGTGTATACCAGTTTATCTCATTTAACCCTTGAAGTTACCTGGTGAAATACGTACTAGGCCCATTTCAGAGATAGAACACTGAGGTCCAGATGATATAAATACTTGTTAACGTAGCTACCAAATGGCAGAGTTGGAACTTGATCCCAGTGTGACTTTGAACCATACCATATGATGTTTTTAATATTCTTATTCATTTATTTTTGGAAATGAATTAGCCACCTTTAAGTGCATTGCTATCTTTTCTTTTAAATGCATTTTTCTGCTTAGCCTCTGGTTTTTTTGTTTTTATTCTTAGAGAAGAACTATTTGAAAATAAAATTCCTTATGCTTATGTAGAGTCCTATTGATATTTATTAAATTCTGCTTCAGCTAATGGTGTATGGAGGAATGGTTGTACAACATAGAGGCTTTATTATTTCTTGAGTCTCTCGCATAAAAAACCTGAACCATTTTTCCATTGTTTTTTTGTTTGGGTTTTTTATTTTATTTTATTTTTTTATTTTGTTTTTTTGAGACAGGGTTTTGCTTGTAGTTCAGCCTGGCTTTGAACTGACGATGTAGCCCAGGCAAGCCTCGAACTCACAGCAATCCTCCTGCCTCAACCTCTCGAGAGCTGGAATTACAGGCATGAGTCACTACACCTGGCTCCTCCATTGACTTTTTAAATGTACCCTTAAATAGAAAATTTATATTCCACTTGTGTGTTATTTTAGAAAGTCAACAAATGTCTATTAAGTATCCAGTCCTTGACAGCCAATAGATCCAGGATAAGGGAAGAGTCATGGACAAAAACGTTTGACATGGTTTTAAAAGAAAGGAAAGAAATCTAAACTATAATATTCCCAAATAAAAGTGCAAGTAATTGAGCAAGCCTTTAGATGGCTCCTAGAGAATGTTATTTGAATTTTTAAGTAAGCCCACACTGTAAAAGGTCTTTTCATTTCTCTAAGATTTGGAGTGAAAAACTTGACTTCAGAGGCTGTTTATATAGGTAATCATGCCTCCTCGCACAAGATAAACTAAGCACTGGTTCCTCGGCTCCATTAAAGTGACAATAAAATCCAAAGAAAAACAGCAAAGAAAACCAGGGGGTTTATCAGTGGACCACTGTCATAGTCCCATTGGGTTACTATAATAAAAAATACCTAATAGTGGGTAGATTAAATAGAAGACATTTATTTCTCATAGGTCTGGAGGCTGGGAGGTCCAGGATCATGGTGTCAGCAAATTTGGTGTTTGGTAAGGGCCCATTTCCTGGTTTATAGAGGACTTCTTGCCGTGTCCTTACATGCAAGAAGGAGACAGGGAGCTCTCTGGGATCTCTTTATAAGGGTACTAATCTCATTCTTGAGCTTTCCACCCTCATGACCTAACCACTACCCAAAGACCCTACTTTGGGGATTAGGTTTTGGCATACGAATTTGAAGGGACGTAAGCACTCATAGCAGCTCCTGAAAGAGAGTAACCAGGTGGAAGTATGCTGAGTGATGGGACAGAGCAGAAGAAACCACAAAGAAGGAGGCTGCAGCAGAGGTGGCAACCAGTTTGCCAAAGATTATTCTGGAGGGATCCTGGAGCAGAGCTAGGTGGTGCAAAGGCCCGGAATGGGAAGGAAAAGCCAGTGGGAAGGAGTTAGCAGAAAGCTGGTCTAAGGAAGAACATGGAGGGATGGTGAGTAGTTTGACTCTGGCCAGAGTCTGCCTGCTCACACCCAAGTAAGAGTACTCTTGTTTAAGAGCAACCCAGCAACAACTGAGATTGTTCACGTGAGTGATGTTATCCCGAAGTAAAGCCTACTTCATTTGAGGATTTGGGGGCTTATCAGAGGCCAGCTTCCTGTCTGCTTGTCCTAAAGCCGGTTGAGAAGTCTTGATCAGGTACACAGAGCTCTAACCCTTCCCACTTAGGGGAGAGTCCAAGGGCAAAGGGCATTGTACCTTGAATGATGAATCCAGTCCTTCACTCTTAAACAAGAACATTACAACTGTGGTATATCAGACCTTGACAAATGCCAGAAGTATGAATGAAACGCAAGTGACATTAAACTTACCAGCTGTGCTGTTATTGCCAGAAGCCCCCTCTTACCAAATTCTGAGAGCGAGAGAGAGTTCAAATGAAGATTTCGTTACCTACTGAAATCTTCAATCAAATGAATCATAGGTATCAGGAGTGAGGCGTTTCTCATGTACACCTTTCTAGATTGCCTGATTGCTGCAGGGTGTATAGCATGGAGATAAGAAATGGGGGGAACGTTCTAGAGCTTCAGTCAAAACAGTTCTGTGGTGATGGCTATGCAGCACGTTTGGAAAGCAATCAGTCGTACGTTGGACAATCTTGGAGAATGGTTGGGCACAGCGGCACACACCTGTAATCTCAGCTTCTCCAGAGACCGAGGCAGGGAGATGGCAAGTCTGAGCCCAGCCTGGGCACATAGTAAGACCTTGTCTCAAAATTAAAAAAAAAAACTTAAAGGCCTGGGATGTAGTGGGATGTAACTTTGTGGTGGGGCACTTGCCTAGCATGCCCAGTGCAGGCCCAAATACTGACAAAAATCATGAAGAATGGAAGCTCTGATGCATGAGCTGATGCAGGGTGATGCGTGAGGCAAGTATGTTTCTTGTTCATTTGCCCAAGAGACGAGGTGGTTAGAAACTCCAGGAAAAACACACTGCTGTGCAAATAATGACATAAACTAAATATGAAGCAACCTAAACATGCATAGTGTTGAGCAGGTAGAGGAGTCTAAAGAGAATCTGTTTCACCACAAAGACTTACGAACGTTCTCCTCCGAGTGACAGTACTGTCATCAGAAGGGATCCTGCTGGGTACACTGTTGGGGCTGCTCTGCAGTGACCAACACTTACGTAGTTATGATGTTGCCCACACTACTGGTTTTCAGCTTTTCTTAAAAGGATGTGGAAATAATGTATAGAGTAGCTAACTAGAGTTGCAGAACAGAATGTAAATATCAACCAAAGGAGTACAGCAGAAGTAGTGAAGTCGCTGCCTCTGGGCATGGATGGAGGAATATTACTAAATTCTAAAAATAGCCCAGACCCCCAAAATTCCAAGACCCAATCCTAAAATGGGCATCTGAGATGAATACACACGTCTCAGATGAAGAAATACAAATGGCAAATAAATACATGAAAAAATGTTCAACATCATTAGTCATTCAACAAATGCAAATTAAAACAACACTGAGAGTCCATCCCACCCCGGAAACAATGGCTGTCATCAAGAAATGACAATAACAAATGCTGGAGAGGCTGTAGAGAAAAAGGAACTCTTCTCCGCTGTTGGTGGGAGTGTAGACTGGTGCAGCCACTGTGGAAGTCAGTCTGGAGATTCCTCAGTAAACTAGGATTAGAGGTCCCATTCAACCCAGCTATTCCCTTTCTGTGTATTTTTCCAAAAGAACTGAAAACATCCTACCATAGCTATATATGTGCACCCATGTTTATAGCAGCACAATTTGTAATAGGTAAATCTTGGAAATAACCCAGATGCCCATCAGCTGAGGAATGAATGAATAAAAAAGATGTGGTATTTTTATATAATAGAGTATTACTCAGCTATAAAAACAGATAAAGTAGAGGCTTTTAAAGGTAAATGGATGCAACTAGAGGCAATACTCATAAGTGAAATAAATCAGACTCATATGTGTAAAGGTTGTATTGCCTCCCTGGTATAGGAACCTGAAAGATTAAATAAAATCTGAAAGGTACAATAGATATTGTGAAAGGGAAAGAGACTGCTCAAAAGGAAAGAACAACTGGGATGAGGGAAAAGAGAAAAGAAAGAAGGAAGGGAATATATATATATATATTATATATATATAAAATATATATACACACACACACACACAAGATAGCTAAGATAATTGTGCTACTAATTTCTGTTGGTTTTTTGAAAGGAACAGTTAATGTTTAATTGTTGGATCAATCTTACATGCCTATATCTGGTTATCAGAGTAATCGCTTTGAAGATAACAATATGTAAGACAGCAACCCTTGTTAATTTCCTATCACCTTGTTTTGAAATTCTGTATCATTTTTATTGTTTTTGTGTTATTTTGTTTATGTCTTGTTTTTGATATTTTGTTTTTGTTCTTTTCTCTTTAAAATGAAAAAAAAAAAAAATAGCTGATCCAGGATCTGGAATCAAGAGCTCTTGGGGGCTGGCCATATAGGTCAGTGGTGCAGCAGGGCTCTGGGTTTGATCCCCTCCAAAACAGCTCTTGAGCCAAGCATCAAGTTTCAGTGTCACTTCCATTACCATGGGCAAGTCAGCCTTTCCAAAGCCTGTTTGTTCACTTATAAATAATGCCACCTACCCTATGAGCCTTGAGGTATTATAATAAGAGTTCAATTGGATAATGCGTGTGAAAGCTCTTTGTAAACTGCTAAGGACCAAATAAATGGTAACTCTAATTTATATTATTTTGAATCATTTTCTAGAGGAAGTAGGTTGAAATTATAGCATGAGTGAGTATGTATGTGTTCTACTTGAGAAAGTTCATGCAGCTTCAATATCTTAAGTGATTTGGGGTCACAAGAGGGAAGGACTACACTTCTGAGCATCTCCTCTCTGCTCCATGCTGTTCTTAGTGTTTGACATGGGATTCAGTGCTTCTCAGATTTTCCTCAGAAGATCCCTGATGCAAGGAGAAAAGACTGCAGGTCTCCGGGGATTTCACTGCTAGCTGCTAGTAGAAAAGGTTTTGTGAACCTTCCATTCTGCTCTACCATATGTTAGCAAAAGTTAACACTGGTTTAGTCCAGTTCACCAGCCCTTTTGCTCCGGTGCCTTCACATTCCCTCAGCTGACCACTAGAGTTGGTAGTGGGGATGTCCCCCCAATTTGGAACCGGCCAAGTGCTATTTTATTGTCATGAAATGCTCAGGATATTGGGGCATAGATAGATTCCAGTTTTGCTCAACTAAGTTTCAGAGAGCTTGAGCGATTTGTTCAAGGTCAGCTAGCTAAGTGCATTTCACCCCAGATTTGTTTCGATTCTGAAGCATATGTTTTTGCTCATCCCTGCCTTGAGAGGTGGGAACCTAAATTAGCTTTTTTTTAGCGCTCTGGTTTATGTACTTCGAAAAGAGAATGCAAACATCATTCTTGACTCTCGTGTCATCTCGGTCCTTATTCATTGACAGTTTTGTCTCTGTTTTCAGCCAAAGCACCAGACAAACCTATTCAGGTAGTTTATGTGCCCTCACATCTGTTTCACATGCTATTTGAGTTGTTCAAGGTAAGTGGAATTTAAAAACATGGAAAGAAGTCTTCATTTTAAATTACTTTGATTCAGGGCATAATGGATTCATTAGATTAGCATAAGAAAAAGGTTTTGCATAACCATTTTAAAAATTCTATTTCTGATATCCTGTGGGTTTTATAATTTGTACACTGTGAGATGAGAAATTGCTGTGTACAGTATAGTTTTTGTGAATATTAGTACATATTGATTTTGAAACTTAATTGTACTTTAGTGACTTTACATAAAATCCATACTGCTTTTTCTTAGGTTATGAGATTAGGGATGCCCTTTAATTTTCAAACCTAGGAAAGGCTTTATTCATAGTAGCCAGTCCAAAATATAAAGCATGTTTATGCATATCTGTGCTTCTGAGCATTAGCTCTGTTGGTACATTAATAGTCATTCCAGTCCTGAGAGATCCTGTAACCCTTGTGCATACTTGAATCAGTTTCCTTCCACAGAGGTGGAAGGGAAAGACATGGATGAAGTGGACCAAACAGGACACAAAATAAACCATGGGTGTACAACCTTCTGGCCTGCCTGGGCCACACTGAGTGAAGAGGAATTGTCTTGGGCCACATATAAAATATATAATGTAGTTACTGCATATAAGTAACAATAATTCCTTTATTCTTGAATATTTTTATTGTAACATTTTTAAGCAAGAACAACATAGGCATAAAACTTGTTCTGTGAAATTAGTGCATCAGTGTCTGGGTCCATTGTTACTGATGCAGTCCGTGCTTGAGCACTGTGCAGTCGAGTTATGAAAAATATCACTAAAAATAATTATTGTTAAAAGTTTCCTGTCTTGTGGGGCCTCATTGCTAACCTTCCATGGCCACATGTGGTCTGTGGGCCGTGAGTTGGACATGCCTTCCTGTGGCCTACATTATTATTTTTGTTACCCAGTAATGAATGGCATTTATATCACTGTAGTACAGACACAAGGCATTTAAGCTAAAATTCCATCTCTTCCAATGTGTAAGACATTAAATTGAACACCTGAAAAATCAGTTATGCTGATTTGCTTCCAAAAATTAGAATGTTACTAATGTAACACTTTAAGGTGGAGATGGGCATTCAATTGTGAACTTTCTCTTTAACAGCTGTGGCTTTTTCAGAATTTCTTTTTAAATGATATTTCCTCTACTTTTTTCAACCAAATGATTAATTTTTATGGGAAGCATGAATCTTTTCAGTTTTTCTGCCTTCTTTAGAAGAAAGGTGCTCTATAAATGCAGACTGATAAATAGGATTTAAAGTGCACAAATCAGCCTCCGCAGCCTCATTACGTGTGATAAAAACATCTTTCCGGGTTTTGAGTTGAATAATTTAAATACCCTAAAGCAAAAAAAGAAAAAAGGGAGGAAGGAAAGAAAGAAAAATAAATATTTATCATGTTAGATGGGGCTAAAACTAGATGCAAAACAAAATAAAGTGTCAGGAAATTTTTCCTTGATCTGAGCATATGTTTATCCAAGCTCTCAAGAGGGAAAAATGCCATGTAAATCCAACGAATACTTGCCCCACAAAAGAATTGCTGGGTATAAGTAATCTTGTACTAGTTTCTTTTTTAAAATTGTGATTTTGGGGGTCGGGAGACTAGCCCAGTGGTAGAGTGCATGCTTAACATGAGGCTCTGGGTTCAATCCCCAGCACCAAATAAATAAGTAACATTGTGGTTAATGAGTCAGCAGAAATGCTTTAACAAAAGGTCTCGTTATTTTAGAACTCAATGAGAGCAACAGTTGAATTGTATGAAGATAGAAAAGAGGGCTGCCCTGCTGTTAAAACTCTTGTTACTTTGGGTAAAGAAGATTTGTCCATTAAGGTAATTATTTTACTTGCATGTATATTTTGATTATCAGTTGATTTAATAATATCTAGACGACAAGAAATCAGAGGCAAGGGATGAAAACTGCCATTCATTGAGTGTCTTATTTGTAAGTGCAGCCGTGTGTCACAACACTTTAGTCAACAACAGAGCGCATATATGATGGTAATCCCGTAAGATTATATCACACAGTGACATTATAGCCAACTTAGTTTGTGTAAGCACAGTGTGTGATGTCAGCACCGTGGTGAAATCACCTAATGACACCTTTCTCAGAATGTGTCGCTGTCATTAAGTGACACGTTGATGGTACTGTGCTGGACCCTTGGCTTGAGTTACCTCAGTTAAACTTCACTGAACAGGACTGCAACCCCACACCTGGATCCTCCTGTGCTACTCTGCCTTCTTTGTTCTATATTGTTCCTATAGGAACTGTATTTCAGTGAGGTTTCAAAGCCTTTCCCCATTTTGGAGTACTGCAGAATGTACTTTATTTAATGACTTCATTGCCTCCTACTTTAACTTATAGACTGGTGTCTTTTTATTTTTAACATTTTGTGTTCTACAGATAAGTGATCTAGGTGGTGGAGTTCCACTTCGCAAAATAGATCGTCTTTTCAACTACATGTATTCAACTGCTCCTAGACCTAGCCTGGAGCCCACAAGAGCTGCCCCTTTGGTAAGCATCACAAACTGCCGCTGAAGGAAAGGTCACTGACCCGGGGAGGGTCTCTATCTACATGAGGGCCAGGGAGCTGCTGTCTCTCCGGGTTGTCGCAGTAGCCTGAGTGAATTAGAATGTTCCCCGTAGGGTTTGGAGAAGTGGGACCTTTTTGCTTTGCCTACTTTCTTTGTGAGTCCTTTGGAGTTAGATTGCTTCTCTAATTTGACTAAGAAATACTCTGAGCCGAGTGCCTCACTCCCCGATACAGCAAGAACACCTTTCACTGTGGTAAGGCTGCTACTGGGGCACCATTAGCACGTAACACCATCCTTGGGGAGGCTAGAAGTTACTGGTGTGTGAGCAAAGGAGCTGTGCAGGGTGTGCAGCTACAGCTTGGTCCTGGGCATGTTGGCGCTATGTACCATAGAGACGCAAATCACCCAGAGCCTCTAACTCTCCACCATCAAATTTGTTTATATAATTAAAATGTTGTTATGAAAACATTTGATTTTTTTACATTAAATAATCTAAGCATAAAACATATAGGTGGTATATGCATTTCCAGAGCCCTTTCTATCACACTCTGAAAATAACCTTCAGCCCTATTAAGGCAGTGAGAAAAGCCTCTGGTTACCATGGTAGCATTTAGACCCTGGTAGGGCCATACTTTCTTCCCCTGCTGAGTGTTTCTAATTGACAAACAACAATTGAACCCTTTGTCATTAAACAAAGCAACATATCTATCAGTCTGCCGAATGGTTCAGGGTATAAATTAAGTTTCATTTTAAAGTCCTACCTGACTGATAAGCACATAAGATTATATTTTATTTGTATGAATAAAATCAAACACTCTTGCATCATTTATTTGAGACAGAGTTTGTTAACTCAGCATGCAGAGAGCAAAGCGGAAGTTATTTTTGTAGGATTCAGGAAAATTCTTGAGGGATCATTTTGGAAAGATTTCAGTGGCCATGTTTAGCTACCTACTTAAATAAACCTCAGAAGAAAAAAAGGGCACTACAAACAAATTGAGTGCCTTCCCCAGTTGTTTAAAAGGAATATGGATTGTTTATTTCAGGTCTTAAAGTATATCTTGGGGGAGCAATTAGGTCATACTTGTTTTTTTATGGAACTGAAGAAATGAAGTAGGAGACCTTAAGATACGAAGCCACCTGCCAGTCATGGAGATGAGGAGATGAGTTTCGTGCCTTGCCCACGCTAATTGACGGTAGAGCCGGCACTGGCTGCATCTGTGTTCTTTCCAGTGCATCGCGTGGGTGTTCCCTTGAAGAAATACCTCCATTGCTGTACATTCAAGTTAGTAAGCTGTCCCCAGCTTTAAAGTGGACCTGTGGATATGGGCTACTGGAAAACATCATTTCCTTACCTCACAACTTGCAGTTTTACACCTCTGTGGCCTGACACATGCATTTCTTTTTCATGACCGTGTGCCCAGTTAACTCCCATTGATCCTTCGACAGACATTCTGGGAAACCTTTGCTGGACCCTACCAAGTCCAAAGTAGAGGCCCCTCCTCTGTGTTCCTCAGGACTCTGGGCTTCCCTGCCTTCCCACAGGGACTGCTGCATTGTCACTGGTCCCTGTTAGACCTGAGGGCAGGCTTGGGCCTTGCTTTATCATAGGAGGCAGAGTCCTTGGGTCTCTTCCTGGAGTACACTGATTTCTTTGCTATGGTTACTTCAGTGACTACTATGGATATCTCATTTTCACTGTTGGCCATTCTTAACAAGTACTAAGGGCCTTAAATGACAGGGTACAATCAGTCACCCCCGCCCTTTCATTTAGGCCCAACATTAAGGAAGATACCAAGGGGAGGTGTTAGAAAGCCATGTTACTTGGTAAAATTGCTGCTCTTAGTAGCCACAATACCTTCTTCGCTTTATTTAGTTTTACTCGGTGTGAGGCTTTGTGCCAAGACTTTGCCCTTATTATATCATTTAATCCTTACAGCAGCTCTGAGGTACGCCTTTTATTACACATTGAATGGGAGAACAGTTTCAAAGAGGTTAAGTAAACTGTTGAGTTGCACAAAAAGTGCATTTCAATTTAGATCTATGAGTCTAAAGCCCGTGTGGCAATGACTTTATGCGTGCTTCACCCTGCTGCCCTCCTTCCCTAACCTTTCATAGCTTTAGTTAGAGGTATCAAGGTTTGGTGGAATAGCATTTTCCCCCACCCATCCATGACTACCACAACAGCTACTGAATGTAGTCTTAGTTCTCCTTGTGGTTCTCAACAATATCTGATGTGATTTTCATTTATTTAAATATTTGTTATTGGCTGTCAGATTTTGATGACATAGAGATATAAGGAAGGTACTAGAGGGTTTTTTGCTTATCTCTAAAAATTTATATACTCAATGTGGTTTTCAGAATCAGATAAAATAGTTTCTCAGGAAATTGTTTTCAATGTTTCAGCCTTGACACTGGTGGATTTGAACTCTCCCGCTAGATATTTTCATTTCAAGGAGCAAGGAAATCTGATAACGGAAATCTGAAATGGTGTAGTTTATTTTTGTCATCAGATCAGATTCTGCCGGATTTGGGATTTCCTTTTTCACAGTGCTAAAACTTTACATTAAAATACTAAAAAAATTAGTCAAAATTGGAATATTTGTTATTATCCAAACATATGAAAAAGTTTTTTGCAAGATGAAAATAGATTTTGTCATAAATAAGCGCATTACTCATTGTAAAGGTTGGATTAGCAATTCATTTGATTTAAATCTGAATCAAGAATTTATTTTAATCTTCTCTGAATGGTCTTCATATGAAACATTTGTGCCTGACTCATTGTATCAATTTTCTTTTCTTGGTAGGCCGGATTTGGTTATGGTTTGCCAATTTCTCGTCTGTATGCTAGATATTTTCAGGGAGATCTAAAACTATATTCCATGGAAGGAGTAGGTACTGATGCTGTCATTTACTTGAAGGTACTGCATTTTATTTCTATTAATGAAAAAGCATTTTTACTTTTTAAGGCCATAAATTCCAATTCTAATTAAGAATAGCACCATGTCATCTCTCGATCAGATTTACCAGGTCACATGAAAACTGTGTGATGCCTCAGCCTTCATTTTATGCTCAGATACAGCAAGATTGGAAATACAGAGATATAAAACTTAAAATGCTGATTTTAAAAATCATAATTCTCAATTATGATTTTTCAAAAGTACATGTTCATTGAAAGATCTAATTGACAAGGAGACAGATGTTCAATAATCTTAAGTCTTCTGGTTTTTAGCTTTAAAAATTTGCAGGCTTTCCCAAGTTATAAGAATTCACTAATGATAATATGGTTATATAAAAGGTTGATGTAACAAAGTTCTCAGTAACCCGATTTTTCTCCTATATTGCTCGTGTTAGACTTTTATTTTTAAACCTAGAATATTTGGAGTGCTTTTGAGTAGGTAATATGGATATGTAATACAACTTTCAAAGCAAGAGGAGGAAACTCAGTCTTTCACCGCTGGCTCTAAGCCACTGGTTCTCTTTCGCACAGGTAACCATGGGTCCTGACTTCTTGTGGGTCCTCCTAGAATTGACTCTGCACATACAAATATATGGGAAAGAAATCTAATCCTTTCCCTTATAAATGAAATGTCAACATCTTGGTCTTACTTGTTTTGGTTTTTACTTTCCAATGTACCTTGCATACTTTTGGCTCATTCTTTTTAACCTTGGCATAGTGTACTACAAATGTGATACCATAATTTAACCGGTTATTTGGAGTATTTGTCTTAGATGCCAGTGCATCTAAATGATGGGATCTTGTTTTGGTGCTAGGGATTGAACCCATGCATGCCGAACACATGCTCTACCACTGAGCTGTATTGCCAGCCCCTGACTGATGGATATTTGATCTCACTTGATGGGCCTGTATCTATAAATCTGGCATGTAAAAGGCTTTATTTTGTACTGAGCCCTTTGGTGGAGCATCTGCCCTGTGAACAACAGTGCTTCGTCTAAGAACATACAGTCAAAATGATTGAGTATCTTAAAGCAGTGTTCACTGAATTAAAATGCACTTTCTTATAATCATATGCACTTTAGTACTGATTTTGAATGGGTGAATATTTTCATTCCTTTAAAAAAAGCTTGAGTTTTTTCCTAGCTAGTCTAAGTAAATTGCTAAAATATAATTTTAATATAATTCCAGAAGTACGCATTACGGTTTCTGATGTTTTTAGTAGTAAATTTTGGGTTAGTATTTCATGTGAGAAAAATGGCACCATGGGCCTTTGGTGTATATATTTTTTTTCCAATAGGCTCTTTCTAGCGAATCATTTGAGAGGCTGCCAGTTTTCAATAAGTCTGCATGGCGCCATTACAAGACCACACCTGAAGCTGACGACTGGAGCAATCCCAGCAGTGAACCCAGGGATGCATCAAAATACAAGGCTAAACAGTTATGTATCACTTTGATTCCATTATGAGATATCTGATTTGTCCCTAGAATGTACCAGCCAGACAACTGAGGGATACTTTCTGCCAGATATTCTGTGTAGTTTTATCACTGGAAAAGCAACATGATCCCTAAGAAAGAAAGATTGGAGCAGTCTTCACCACCAGACAGAACAGCAAGAATTGGGTAGCCAGCGTCTCTGTTTGAATAGAGTACCCACTTCTCTAGGAACACTTGCACTGGAGAGGGACTAACCCTGAGCACGGGGTTTGTCCTGCCATCAGTTTTATTTAAAACACAGTTAAGCTTGCAGCTTGTCATCATCCTTAAAGATTGACAGAAGGATGTTCAGAGAAATTCTGTGGGTTGAAACTGAAAAAATAAAGAGGTTAAACTTACCAGTCATGATAAACCAAATGTGGTATAGCCGTACAGTGGAGTGTTATTTGGCCTTAAAAGGGGGGGAGATTCTGACATGCTACAACATGGGTGAAACTTGAAGCCATTGTGCTAAATGAAGTGTGTCAGACCCAAAAGAACAGATACTGCATGATTCTACTTCGATGTGGCTCCCTAGAGTAATCCAACCAATAGAATCAGGAAGTAGAAGGGTGGTCACCAGGGTCCAGAGAAAAGAGAGAATGTTGTTTAGTGAATCCAGACTTTTAGTTGGGGATGGTGAAGGAGTTCTGGATACAGATGGTGGTGATGCTTGCACAACTTAATGCCAGTCAGCTGTCCACTTAAAACAGTTAAGATGGTAAGCTCAGTTATGTACAATTTATCACAATAAAAAACTGGAAATGAAAGAAATTATCAATCATAGAATAACAACCATTACTGTTATGTGTTACTAAGGAAAATAATTCAATCTTTGATTGCAGATTTTTTTCTTCTGACTGCCTGTAAATTCCAACTGTACAAGCAAGAGTAAGGGTTCTGTTTCTTTAATTTAAAATAACTTTTATTAAATAGAAATATGTGTGCATTGTAAGAATTAGAAAACATAAATAGATGAAAAAAGAAAGGAGAAATCACTGTATTTCCACAATCCAGAGATTTCCCCTGCTATAGCTTTGAGTGTTCTTATAGATAATGTCACTTATGTGCCCTTTGTGTGCATAGATACATATATTTATGAGATCATACTGTCATGCTGTTTTATAACCTGCTTCCGTTTCATTTATCAATCTCTGCTTTTCTGTGTCAGTAACTTTCACCTCACTAAAATTCTCCTGACTTGTCTGAACCGGGGTCTGTTCCAGGACCACATAGCGCAGCTGCGTAGTCTCAAGACTAATCTAGAAAGTTTCGCTGTTACTCAAAACCCATGTCAGTGGTTCTGCAGAATCCCCACAGTGGCTTGTTTGATTTCTCCTTTGAAATATCACTTGGTTTTCCCTTATCGTATTTCCTGTAAACTGGAAGTTCATCTGAAGTCTCAGTGGAGCTTTTTATAACTTTTAGCTGGAACACTCCATCAGCACTGTTGCAGAATTACATGATGAGGCCCATTAGTGATGTTAAGATGGACCATAATTTAGGTGATGGCTGTCTGATCCCTCCATGCTCCAGTCATTTTTCCCTTTTTCGCTAGAAAGTCATTTTGTGCTGTTGTTTTCATACCATACAAATAGATACTTACCCATCAGCCATTCACCCAGGGGTTTCACCTTAATTGATCATTTTGGCTTAATAAGGGTGCTCATTTTCACCACTTTTATTCAATACAGTACTGGAAGTCCTAGTCAGACACTAGGCAAGCGAAGAAAAAGGCATCCAAATTGGAAAGGAGGAAGTCACATTGTCACTGTAGTGATACTTTCATTAGTGTTTGTAAAAGATGTTTTTTAATCTTTCCTTTGACAGTTATTAGCTGACATCCCCCCTATTAAATGAAGTTGTTTCTCAACAACCATTTAGGTACCTTGCACTACAGTTTTCCCAGTAAGTTTATCTTTTTTTCTTTAAATTTAAAGAAAACAATTAATTTTCTTGTAAGTCACCGATTTTCAAGGTAAAATATCAGGTTAAAAATCACTTTAAAGCCAGGCATAGTGGCACATATGTGTAATCCCAGCACTCAGGAGGCTGAGGCAGAAGGATTGCTGCAGGTTTGAGGCGATCCTAGGCTACATAGACAGTTCAAGGCTCTAAACTATACAGTGAACCTGGTGTGGTGGTGCATGCCTGTAATCCCGCACTTAGGAGGCTGAGGCAGGAGAATCTCCATGAGTTTGAGGCCAGCCTGGACTGCACAAGTGAGTTCATGGCCAGCCTACACTGCATAGTGAGGCCCTGTCTCAAAAACAAAGCAAAACAAAAAAAAAACAAATAAACTGTGCAGTGAGACCTTGTCTCAAATAAAAAAGCCGAAATCACTTTAAATGATGCCAAATGAGTTTCTGCTTTGTGCTTTTTGGCATTATAGATTTGATAAATTTTTATTGCTTTTCTCTGTTATATTCAGCACCTTTTTATTGAAGTATTGTGTTATTCATACTTATTTTATTGAAATACTTAGTTTGTGAAGTACACAAATCTTAAGTTTATAGCTTGCTATATTTTATACCTGTATTTCCAGCACCCTAAAAGATCCCCTTCTAGTCAGACTCTCCTCCCACCCCTGTCCCTGGGTCCACATATAGCCATTTTCTAACTTAGCACTAGAGGTATTCTTTTTAAACATAAAACAAAAACATAAAGTGTGCACTTTTTTGTGTCTTGCCTTCTGGGTTATTTATCCGTGTTGTTGCATGTAGTGGTCATTGTCCTTTCTGCTGCTTGAACTGGAGCACCTCCAGCCAGTGGTAGCTATTTTAAGCTGGTTCCTCTGTGTTCCACTGTCAGAAGCTTATTTATCTTTGAAAGCTGTTCTGCTTCCCGGTACTCTACACAATCAGAGAAACTTCTCTAGTAACATACTATAGCAATGATCCCTGAAAGTACAGCCTTAACTCTTCTGCTTCCCGGTACAAGATCCTGTCCTAGGCTCACCTTATATCTACTGTGCACCTGTTCTGGAATCAGCTATTTCCCCCAAGGAATCTTATTTTTTAATGGATATTAGAGGCCCTAATCTGGGTGCTGGGTGTGCTTATTACACCTTTTCTAGGTGCTTTTTCTGGACAGGTGTGTGTGTGTAAAGTTCATATTGATCATTTTTATTTAATATTGCATTATTTCTCCCCAGTATAGTTTAAAAAATTTTTTGGTACTTGGGATTGAACCCGGGGCCTAAAGCATGCTACCAAGGAGTCTACCACTAAGCCTCATCTCCTTTAACTTCTGATACTTCTTTTAACTTCATTTTTTTATTGGTGCGTACTTGTCATACATAATGATCACATTCACCATAGGGAGTTTGCACCCGTACATGATACCTCTGGATTCTTTTTTCCCCAGTCTCCTGCCCCTCCTTTCAACTCCTCTTCCCCTCCCTATTTACATCCCTAATGTATTTTTATTACAGATGTTTCATCTTCCCTGAACACCTTGATTCTCAATATCTTTAACACAATTCAACAGGAAGATATTAGTATGCAAATATAGTTTATATATTGATACCATTATAATTTATAATTTGATACCATTATTGTAGCATTCGTCTTTTCTGATAAATGATATAAAGAGCAAAGGGTACCTACACTGATTTTTCTCCTATCAAAGTATCGTGAGGAACCTCCATGCCACACGTCTCAAATGATGAAATTGATGAGTTTGATTTTCTTCCTTTTGTCATATGATAATAGAAATGTAGTTGTCCCTACTGCAGCACAGCGAGGGATTTCCCTCGGAGAAGCTGTGCTGTGGCCGGCGGCACACTCGTGCTGCTGCTTTTCTTCGTTCCACTGTGTGCACACATTCACCATTCTCAGTCAAGAGGAAGCTAATCAGTGTGAAATACCTGGGTCCCTTCGGTCTGTTTGTAAGCCAGATAGCATGTTGGGCCTCAGTGAATTCAAACTGTCAGTCTGAGTGGTGGATTAATTTGGATAATACGGAAGCCATCTTTGTGAAGAAGAAGGTCCATTAGGATTGTGAGGAGGTGGCTTTAACTGAACGTTGTTCCCCAGGCAATTTTAAAACTCTAAATAGTTTATCATGTAACTATGAGTCTCCATTTCTAATGTATTGCTAGACAAATGAATTTTGGCAGAAAATAATTTTTTAAATTCTAAAATAAGATAATTGGTAGAGATCTTGGAAAAGTAATAGGTATGGGAGGATATATATTTCTACATGAAGAAGTCTAAGAAAATTCTCTAGACTTTTTTATAAGTAAGAGCTTTAGAGTGATATAATTCACATAGCATACAATTCACTTTCAAGTATACAATTAAGTTGTTTTTAATGTATTCACAGACTTTTACAATCATAAGCACTAATTTTAGAGTATTTTCTTCACTCTAAGGAGAAATCCCATATCCTTTAGCATTACTCCCCACTTACAATCATGTTTTCAACTGAGAGTAAAGAATTGTTTTAAAAAGGAAATAAGTAATGAAATAATAATTCTTCTGCGGTAACTGTAGAAAATAATTCTAAGTAAGGGTTCTGTGTAAGGCGAGAATTTTTGAATTGTCATTGTAAGGAAGTGCTCTGATGAAGTATTGGTTGAATAGAGGAGATTATACCCAGAGACTCACTATGCATGTTCCATTATTTTCTTTACAGGGACAAGATCAAAACTAATAGAACTTTGTAAGGCGCTGAACGCTGTGGCCCTCTTTCGTGAAGAAAGGTCGTCTTCTGCAAGTCGATGCGAGAGCACTTTTTTCACCAACTCTGAATGATTCCCAGTGCTTGAGTGTATTCTGTCCATACCAGCTGGATCTTTCCACGGAGCCCCTCCTGTAGTTATTCCAGGCAAAAGTTCCACTAAAGTAGTAACTCAAGTAATTTTTCATGTTATTTTGCTGTGGTGTGGTCGGCGCCTATCACAAAAGAACACAGAGCCTCCTTAGAGCTCTCGTGCCCTCACACTGTCTGTCTCATTATCGTAGCGCCTGGTGTCTCCAGTCTTCCCTGGATCCGAGTTCCTTCCCCATCCTAGGTGCAGCAGTTACTGCTGCTGCTCTTTCTGACCAAATACCTTATTTGTCCCAAACTTCCAGCTAGGGTCGAAGAATCTGGAAGGAGACCATAGCAGCTGAGCACGTCTTGAGAATTCAGTCCCAGGGCCCTCTCTGCTGTGCATCCCTCCTCCGCTCTCTCATTGGGTTTGCCTTCCTCCATCCGGTCTGCATTCTCATTATAGGAGGCGTGGTACTTTCATATTAGGTCTTACTGATGCATTGATATTATTTTACAATTCATTTGTATACTTCCATTCCATCGATTAAAGCATTCCAAAATTTGTCTTGGAATTTTTCACTTAACGGCTTAATTTTAAAGATCGTAAGTGAAAAACTGCTTTGTGGTCAGTATCGAGCCTATGAAGAGTGGGAAATAGAGACTTTCTGCTCCTGTAGAAATTGCACCAGTCTACTACTATATCTTTGTCACGTTCCTTTGTGATCTCCTAAGGAATTGCAAGTTCCTGTGTCATGCACTTTACTAGTTGTAAAATAGACTACCAAAGGGAAAAGCTCTTTCTAGGTTACTTGAAAACTCCTGTGGGCCTTCATCAATTTCATTTTTCTCATTTCAGCCAGTTTTAGATTTGGGAGCTCGATCTGATTTTCACACTCCTTCATTTTTTGCTAGAGTGGAAGTAAGAATTAACAGGGGACCTGGGTGAGGAGAGAGGAATGATGTTATATTTACTCTTAGTAATAGAAGCCAGCGGAGAGTCCACATTCACAGTAGCATCTTACATAACTCCACAGGCTTTGTTTCTCTTCGCTGTAATTTTTTATGTCAGTCTAATTCTTAGTAGTAAGTCTACTGATTTAGAGGTTGCAAAGTAGTCTTCATCCCTTAGTCACATGACAGTGGCAATGCAGTTGTCCCACCATCACCGCAGTGGGGAATTTTTCCTTGGATGGAGTTAGGCTGTGACCAGCTGCACTTGGCTTGATTGTAACTCTGTTTCTCTTAGTTTCACTGAATATGGTTTTCTTTCATGTCATTATGCTCCCCAAGCTTGTGGTAGTTTCTTTCATCTTTAGAAGGGTCTCATCCCTTCCATCCTCAGGAGGATCTCATCAGAGAACTCACATATAATCAGTCAAGTAGAAGACATATCGATGTACTTCCAAGAGATGGAAGAGATAGGCCATGTAGCAGCTTGTTTGTTTGAGGTCCAAGTCAGTGTCTCAGGAATAGGGCCGTTCGGTGTGATTATTCTCTCATGGTATAAAAGAGGTAAAAATAAGCTGGATGTGGTGGTGCCTGGCTGTCATCGAACCTCCTCAAAAGACTTGAGTACTGCAGGTTCAATGCCAGCCTGAGAAATTTAATGGGACTCTGTCTCCAAATAAAAATTGGTAAAAAGAGCTAGGGGTATAGCTCAGTGGTAGAGCCCTTACCTAGCAGGCACAAAACCGTAGGTTCAATCCCCAGCACTGCAGAAAAGAAAAGATTTAAAGTTAATGGTCCTTTACATTTAAAGGCTCTAGCTTCCTTACAAACATTAGACAGTATCGCTAGCTTATTAGATCTCGATTTCCAACTGTGCTCCTTTACACTTTCAAGTGGGATCTGCCACAGGGGAAAGGAGACAGCAGATTTGTGTCGCGTTACCTTCTGCCTTGTTCCCCCTGCGCTTTTATCGTTTGAAGAATGCCCACTGACTGCCAAGCCCTCAATCAAGCACCACGTAGGGGTCAAATATGGAAAATATGATATAGAAACATCCTGTCACATTCTTGACAAGTATTTTTCAAAAGCAAAATGTTACTGCGATGTTTTGATGAGTCAGTGTACGTTAGAGCGGTGATGGCAGACCTTTCAGCACTTCTAGTGACCACAAGCAGGCGCCTGTGTCACGTGGCCGTAGGTTCCCCACCACTGCTTTAGAGCTTACTCACGTGCACCTGACCCAGTACAGTCTGCCTTCTATCCCTTGTCGTTTTTCTTCACTGAGAATTCTTTTCTGGAGTCTTACTCTTCATTTCATTGACAAGAACATTTTGAGGATCATCTTGCCTTCTGCGTTTGTCAGCTCCTTCACCCAAGAATTCATTTTTCTTTCTTCTTGACTGTATAGGATCCTCTGAGCTTAAGCACATCTCTCTCATTGTTTGCTGGGTTTGCCTGTAAGCCAGTGGTAAGATTTCTGCATATAAATTGTAATATAAACAGACATTGGCCCCTTTTCAGCCAAATTCTTCCCCATTTCTGTGTAATGTCCTGTCATTGACATTATTTGGGGGCCGTGTCTACTACTTGAAATAGTGCCCGGCAAATAATAGATACTTAATAAATACTGTATCAAAGACTGGAAGCTGACACACGTTTACCTTGGGTAGCAGGACAACATCTAGGTTCTTAAGCTATCCCTGTCCCCAAATCAGGTCAGGGGCTTTGGAAGTATGAAATTTCTTTTAATAGTACTATGAGATGACGTTAAAGTATAGGAAAATGACAGGAGGTAGGGAAGGATCCACAGGAGCTATCTGATCCCTTCTTTGTCTCCGAATATCTGAGTTTGGCTCCATAATACAGGAATTAATACAGGGGTTCTTTCCTCCCAGTGACGTGGCTTTACCGCCTTGCTTACAGATTCCAAAGAACTTGTGTACTCAGCGTCCCGTCTGATCCTTACAATGCCATGAGGTAACGGGCCACACAGGAACGACTCTACTTTCATATGAATCCCAAAGCAGTTAAGTGGTTCACCAAGGTGGGCTGGTCAGTGAACAGAAGAACCAAAGTGAGTAGTTGGGTCTTGTTCCTAGGTTAGTGCTCTGAATAATACACCAGGCAATTAGTGTTATTCCTTTTGAGGAATTTTTTGGCTATATAACTCTCAAGGGTAAGTTTTCAACCAAAAATTTTCTGTAATGTGAGCTAATTCCACTCAGGAGATGTTTTCTTTTGTGTATTTTCCATTTTGGCCTAGTTAATCAGAGGAGATAGTCAAATAGATCTGGCAGCTTTTACCTAAAAAGACAAGCAGCTTAAAGAGTATAGCTGTAGGTAATTACTAGAATTGTTTAGACTTAATTCTATGTTTGAATGAGATCAATGCTCCCTGCCGGCCCTTTCATACACAGACTCCAAAGACTCGAGAGTTGATGCTTTTATGTTTTGGTGGACTGAATTGTAGTGTTGGTTAGACTTCCTTTCATATTTACACGTCTTTCTGTTGCACTGCTTATGATGTGTGTTGGCTGGCTATTAGACTCTTGGCCCACGTCCTTTTTCCCCCAACTCTTTCAGGATGTTACTTTGTTGTTATCTCTATCTGGTGGTGATGAGAAGTCTGGGTCCAGGTAGACTTTTCTTCCCTTTTTTGTAGATAACCTGCGTGCTTGCCATGGTGTGATTCTTTGTTTATTCTTGAAATTCAGTAACTTTATTTGTGTTTATCTCAGGATTGACAGTTGTCTGTTGACTTTTTCTGGTACACAGCGAGCAAGTCGATACTGACATTTTAGCCCTTACTGCATATTTCTATCTGTTCTGTTCTCTTTTTTAAGAATTTGTCATTGCGTTGGCTCTGTTACCTGCCCTTCACATTTATCTTTGGGTAGCTTCCGTCCCCTTGTCTCCCTTCATGCTGTGTTTTTTTTTCGGCAAGTCTTACCTCCATTTCATTGGCTCAGGTTTCATTACTGTTGAGGCTACACCCTGTTGCTTGTAATATGACTTCACTTGTTAGTTTCTTAAAACTTCTTCCCTGTAAGTCATTCTGTCATCCTCTTTGATCCCTTATTTTATTTGAGGGCCAAACCATTTCGTCTATATTTTTCAGTTTCTGAACCCAGTCTTTTCCTGGAGCATGTTGATGTATCTTTTGCTTTATCTTTGGACACGCCCCTGGAACCCGTGGTATGGCATTATAGCTTTTATTGGGTTCACTATAGATAGCTTCTGACTCAATTTTGGGATGTGTGTGTTGGAGAGCAGGAGCACTTATAAACACCCATTTATTCTGCCATCTTTCCCAGCGGTCCAGGTGCTTAAACATTGACTTTGAAGATAATGTCCTTCATAATCGATATGTTAATAAACAGAAGGAACCGATATTGCCAGCAGGAAAGCACCATTAACAATTTAATCAATACAGGATTTTTGTTTACTGTTCTGTGTGGAAAGATAACTTAGCTCGGGTCCCTGTTCTACCCATTAGAGATATCAGTACCTTCTGGTTAAAACACAGGGGACGTGTGACATTTTAATGAACTCAAGTTATTGGCTATTGACAGGGATTAATTAGTTGGTTAAATATTGGAAAATATTTCAAACTAATAATCAGAGTTATCAAAGGAAGTTTAAGCTCTTTTATGAGCAGATTGCGGTTGCGCTATCTCACGCGAGCGGAGTGGGCCCTCTGAGAGCTTCACTGGGGCACAGGTTTTCTTACCTGCCTTTTCCACCAGCCCATCTCAAAATGTGGCTCATTAGGGAATAGAAATACGTGAAGTCTTCATCAGGGTTTGTTTTATTGTGTGTGAATATACAGTTGCATGGTTTGTAGACCAGGGGCCTACCACGGAAGCACGTGGATTAATGTTTGTAAAGTGCCTTTGACGTGGATCACAAGACGGGGGTTTTGTTTGGCCTGTTTGTGGGGTTCAAGCCTCCTTGCCTCAGTGGCCAGCACATTCCACCAGACAACCAGCAGCAAACGCTTGTCACCCTCAGTGCTCCTGCATGACAATCACACAGCCAAGTGACAGCCTTGCTGTATGTACCCAGCTCCACCTGAGGTGAGGCCTTCCTCTCCGGTCGGTCTTTGCCCCAGTCTCTGCTGATGTCAGGGGGAGAACCCGGGCACCCTCGTGTGAGACGGACCAATGAAGGAAAGGCGGCAGGTCGAGGAGCCATGGGAAGGGAAGCAATGTGCACCCTCCCCTGTAAATGGTATCCAGTGTCCCCTGCGCTCTAGAAACTGTGCTACATGCGGGGCACACAGCAGTGATCAAAGCGGAGAGAAATCCCTGCTTCCTGAGCTCACACTCTAGTGCAGAAGACATACTAGAAATAAAGTGAGGTAGTTTTACAGTTCAGTTGCAGTGGAGAAAAGTGAGACGGGGCGGCCCCCAACCTTCTAAGTGTTTTCATCATGGACAGATGTGTTCCTCAGAGGAGGAAGGGCCAGCGATTTTCAACTTCTTTTCTCCTCTGCATCTGTTGGTCTGAATTTGGACTGCGATCAGCTTAGCGGGAGACCTTGTCGAGATCCCTGCACTGGGGCTTCAGGGAAACAGAGGGGACCGAGCCCATTTCAGTCCTTGTCTTGCTGACCGACAAGGAGCAGTGGTCAATTAGGAGGAACCAACTTCTCCATTCAGATTTCACCGAATGACGTGGGCCATTCTTGCCTCAAGCAGAAACAGTTACCACAGGTTCTGGATATGTCTTCTTGGGATTCAGAAATCACTATTTAGAGAAATGTTTAAAGCGTCTGGGTGATGCTGCTGGGTTAAAATGGCTGCTTTTCAGAAGAGACCCTATTCAGCACTTCAGCTCATTCTGGAGGTGGAGGAAAAGGGTTGTCTGAGAAGGCTTCCCTCTCAGGTTAGCGCGAGCTGTGTATGTCCCCCAAAATGGAGACAGAAAGCAATACAAAATATTTCCGTCACAAACTTCTTGAGAAACCTCTCTTTCCAGTTTTCCGCCTGTCTCTACAACAGAGGCATGAGTTCCCGCAGTCCCCGGGGTACGGTGTAGGTGGCCAGGACTCAGGCTGTCACTTGGTGTGGACCACATGCGCCTCTGCGCCACTCTGCTGGCAGTGGTCCCGCTTTCCCTCAGGCAACAGCAGAGCCGCGGTGCAGACTTGGAGTTCTCCACACCTGCTCGTCTGGGCACTGGGAGGTCTAGCTGACTGGGGAAGGAGATGGGATACGTTCAGTTATTCCCACAGGTAGGGCAGTTTGTCACCCTTTAAATGGACTTATTTGCATACGCACAAAAGTACCTTGGGGCATCATTACTGAAGGTCTCGGAACAACTGTTACAGTTATGTGCTGTGTTAAAAGAAAGACCCCGTTTATCTCATGCTAATATTCTTTCACTGTTTTAATTAAATCACTGAGACACCTTGTGTGTGTATCAGTGCAAAAACGTTCCACCCAAGGTGGAGAATTGGCCTCAGCTGCAGCGCTCCCAACTCCAAGTGGTGACATCAGTCTCCGATGGGTCTGCAAGTCTCTTGACAATAGTAAGAAACAGAGCTTCATGTTTGGAGTGCCATGGTCCGATTGGACTATTGGGGGTATTTCTGTGGGGCTTTTCTTAATGGTAGAGAATTGAGATGGCGAACCTGTGGTAATACTGGATCCAGGAAGCTTACAATGAAGAGATGAACTTAACCTGAAAAATATTTTTCTGTGCTATAAATCTCTCCGTGACATTTGGATTAATCAAGCATAATTAAATGTAGTTAGATTTTTGTCAGATTGTAGTTCAAAATAATATTCATCTATGGAGAGGGTAATATATTCTGTAGAAATTTTATTAAGCACTTTAGTTAAGCAAACACTAAGGAGAACAAAATCAGCCTCAGGAAGGTTAATTACTAAAAAAACACAAAGTATAGTAGATTATGTAAATCATTTTAATTTTGAATACCATGGCTTGGGCTTTAATTTACATAGAGAGGTATTTTGGATTTGTTTTTCACTTTATATTTTTCAAAAGTACAGAATTACACTTGCATTCTTTAAAAGTTCTAATCATACCAAGATTCCATTAAGTTTTCTTATCTTTTTCCTATTATAGTTTCCAAAAGTGAAGAATTACAGTTGCATTCTATTTTAGGATTTCACTAAACTTGTGTAAATTATAAGAAAGCTATCTTTACTTCTGTACCACTGATGGTTTTAAGAGAACTATGAGGGGAGAGAATTTGTGTGAAATCACCCAGCCTGTGTGTAGCTTTGCAATAATGTTCATTTAAAGGAAAACATTTTTTTAGAAAGGTAAAACGTAAGAGTTTAGACTGTGGTGATGTCTCTTTATTTTACTAATTTCTTGAAAGGGAGGAGTAAGGGATGAAATTGATTTTATGTGTATATACTTTTTTGTACTCAGAGAATTACACGTTCGCTACCCTTGCCTGTCTCAGGGAATAGCCTTCGATAAGAATCCCACAGAAATCTTTAACTGTACCGCTGTGTGTTCAGATTTGATAGTTCTTGTCTAAATTTCAGAACCAGAATTTCAAAAGTATTGTCATCGTAGGGACGTGAGATTCCCCAAGAAACCTGAACTTGCCCTTTTCATGAGAATGCACACCCAAATGTCCTTGGTCTAGGAGGAATCCCACTTCTCCCCTGCCATTTGACTTTGTTTGATAATGTGCTTCATGGCTTTTCAGTGAAGATTCTGTTTTCTACTGGAACTGACTCCTTTTGGGATAATAAACTTTCATTTCAAAGAACATCGCATTAAGTAATTCTAACTTCCATTAACCTAAAAGGGGCTTGTTAACTTAAGTACTCTGGGCAACTTTTACAGATGGGCCCAAACTGCAGAAATGTGAAAGAGCATATATGTGTGAAGCAGTATTTGCCCTCTGGTTGGCAGAGTGAGGACATATCTAACTGGCACATAGGACTGGTTTAGCTGCTCTCTGAGTCACCCTTGCCTTCCAAATTGATTAAAAATGGCGCACTTAGGAAGGGATGCATATACATAACAACTACTTAATGTTTAAAACATTCTTATTGGGGATTCGTTTTGAGAGAAAAAAGAATCGTAGCATTCAGTGCTAACTCTTGGTTGTTCACATGCACTAGACATTAACAAAGAAGTTACGAAAGTTAAATCTGATTGTAAGCCATGCTAAAGGACATGACACAAGTGTGTGAAATCAGAATGAGTATAAAATGTTATACTGTCTAAATCATGGCATCCCTTTCTCAAAAATTCCAATTTGCTTTTATCATTTGAATTGTTACGACTGTCAGAAATGTCAGTGTATACTTTGAAAGGCACCGTGTATTTACAGTAAGAACTGGCTTGTGCCTTTATCTCTAAAAATGCTGACGTTAATGGCTTTACTTAGAATTAAGGCTAAAACTTGTGCCTATAGAGATGGGAAAAGACTTGAGGCTGCCTGCCATTGACGAGGCCGTTGAAGAGGGACCAGGCTGATTCTTTTGGGTTTCGCCTGCCACGTGCCAGGTCCTCTCCGGTGGCAGGCTTTTCCTGGCTGTTGTAACAAACGGAAAAATTAAATAAAAGGGGCTCAACGTGGTCCTGCATCTGCTACCTTTTTTCCTGGGTGCCTGTGTAACTGTTCCTGGGGAACAGGTCACATAATGTCTTTTAGTAGCTTGCTTTTCACTTTGAAAAGTCCGTGTAAGAGCTGATAAGTTATTTTGACCAATAAATTGTGCTTAAAATATTTTTAGACTAAAAGTATCTTGACTGCCAAGTGGACATCCGTGGCAAGGTTTACCTAGAAAATATAGAGCCCTGGGGGACTGAAACATTGCAGTGGCCTTTATTCAGTGTTGGAGGAATCGCGTTCTCTTGCTTCCTTCGTTTCCAGTCTGTTCGTTGTTGCAGCCTGCTTTTCTCTTCTGATGCTGCACAGCCCTAGAACGGAATGCTGCCCTTCAATTAGAGAGCGCAGTTGTGTTTGGGTCAGATTTGGACAACACGCCACATTTTTAGCTTAGCGTTCTGGCTAACCGTGTCTCTGAAGAGCTTCTTGGTGTTCAGATCACTTGAGGCGGTACTTGCTCCTTAAAGGTTACGTACACAACATCTGCTGCTAGAAGTTCACACCCTCACAAAAGTATCCAAGTGCTTGAACCTTAGATATTTCCCGGATTTAGAACAAAACTTGTGAATGCCTAAGACATGCTTGAAGTGCCTAAGAAAGCTACTGTGGAATGAAATACACCTCTGTGAACATACCTGATGCTGCAATTAAGTGAAACGTTTCTTGCTTTGCCAGTTTTTCTAACTCCGTTATCAAAGTGGTATCTAAACTGGGAATGCTTGCTGACTTGATAAGAGAAAAATATTAACTTACACATGAAATAAATATTCTTTACAATATTTGTACCCATGAGTTCAAATCTGACCTGGTTTGCTTTGTGCCTGTCTCAGCTTAGATACAGTGATAAATGTGCACGTGTGTCCAGCTTTCTGGAGCAACCTTGTGGCATTAGAATAAGCCCCGCCCCCACCCCCGGTTCTGTGCTGTGCTGTGGCCTTGCTGGTATACACCATTATGAATGAAGAATTATTTGGGGTGGGGTCATCTGTCATTCCATGTTCCGTGGAGAAAAGTGTCTCGTGATTGTTGGAAAAACCTGACCAGAGAAGGGTGTGGCTCTGGTAACATTTCCCGTGAGTCGCAGAGCAATCTGTGGTGTCCGTCATAGCAAACTAGTCTTGGAGCACATGGACAATTCTGTATCCCAATAATCAGAAAAATAAAATGGTAGCTGTGATTCACAGTGCATCCGTGTGGTGTTTTCTGAACCATATTCTCATGTGTCCCACTGAAAGACTTGTCTTTTCTCTCAGCTTCTGAAATTCAATATATTAGCAGCAAGCATCTTTGCAAGTCGCTGGAAATGCACAAGGAGGCTTACATCAATTCTTGTGATAGATCAAAGAAAAATGGGTTATTTGGGACCCTCCCCCTCTTTGCAGGGAACAGTCTTGGAACAAAATAAAGGAGTTGGTAAAAGTAACCTGTTACAGTGGTATTTTTAAAAATATAGTCCATGGATGGGGAAAGAGGCCCATATAATATATTGTGCATTCGAGGACATTTTTGAGAGTGAAAAAGAGCACTGCTAAGAGTTATGCTGTAACCTGTGTAAACAGGCCCAGATTGAGACTGCTCTGGTCAAGCTGGGGTGGGCCGGTCCTAGAGTACCTGTGCTAGAATTAGCTGAAAGGCTGTCTGAATGCAGAGTCCTGGGCTCTTCTTCAGCTTTTCTGATTCGGATTTCCTGTGGTTGAGGCCTAGGAATCTGTATTTTAACAAATGCCCCCAGAGGAATTCTCAAGAGTGTGGGACCTGCCATATGGAATATTCTAGTGACAACTTGAATTTTTAATGTTTACTGGTTCTGCTGTCCCTGAGAGGAAAGCGGGCAGTGGCAACACCAGAACTTCATGTCCCCAAAGACGTTTAGGTGTAGTTATGTGCTTTCCAAAGAATTAAAGAGTAGTCTTTGTTATTTAGCAATGCGCCATTTTTTTACTAAATATTCAGTAGTGAAGGGATGTATTTTCTTCTTTAAAATATGAAAAGCACACAACTGCTATGTTGCTTATTTTTCACTAAACAACAAAACTTCCTCAAGATTTGAGGCAAAAAACTTTGCATTTGAATGATTATTTGGGAGAGTTAATATTGGGAATTCAGATTCTTCCTGTTACCAGCTAACACTATTAACTGCTTTAATTTCCTGATCTCAGCTGGCGTGGTGGGTGGTGCACGCCTGTAATCCCAGCACTGGGGAGGCTGAGGCAGGAGGATCATTTCGAGTTTGAAGCTAGCCTGGGCTACAAAGTGAGCTCAAGGCCAGCCTGAGCTGCATAGCGAGACCCTGTCTCAAAAAGACAAAAAAAAATTCCGGATCTCTAAAATTAGGGAGTTGAACCACGTGGATTCCAGGGCTGTTAGCAAGTTTGATCTTTTATGGTGCTCCTTAAAAACCTAAAATGGGAAGCAATAAGTAAGTATTTTCATGTTGTTTGTTAACTACTTTTCCCAAAGAATACAAAACCAGTGACTCTTGAAGGCTATTGTGATTTTACTGTGAATTTGAAAATGATTCATCTGTATTTTACTGGAAGCCAGTGATTTGCTGAGACATCATTCATGACTTGAGCTTGGTATTCTCCTAGCAGCTGCTCCTGCCATGGTTTGAAATTCGTTAGGTATGGCTTATGCTCAGACAGACTTCCCAAGATCACACAGTTCCATGAAGTTATTGCCAAGCACTGTGCTTTACTGTATGTTTTTACTTTCTTGTCCTTCATCTCAAAATCCTTTCTAAGTGACTTAATAATGCATGCTTACAAGTGATTATCTGCTGATAATACTTTCAGATGTTCGCTTCATCATAACACATAGATTTACACTTTGATCACATGAATAAATCATAAAGCAGCATGGAGAAGGGGTTGCCTCTGAGGAGGGGTTTCCGCAGACCGCCACCCACCACCGCAACTCGGACCACGGAAGTCCTCTCTGTGCCGTCCGTTACACTCGCCACTGGCCACCTGAACGGTTAAAATACAGAACTGAATTTTAAACTGAACTCCTTAAATAGCCACATCACCAGTGGCAACCATTATTGGCCCGGGCAGTTATCTGCTGCCATTTCAACTGTTGAATTTTTTAAAAAATTAATATCAAGTACCCACTTTCACCGAGTTAGGTGCTTGATAGCAGCCATCATTTCTCAATGGTTGCCGTAAGATGAAGCCTTGGCTTTCTGCCCGTTGATGACACTTTCATCAACATAATAGTCTCTCTTTGGATAAGAATATAATAAAATAATGTTCAGACTTTTTCTTGTTGTGGACACTTGGCAAATCAAGTCTCATTTTTCTTACGCGAGACATCGGTCGTCCACTTCTTCGAATCCAGCTACTCTCAGGCTCACTCTGTGCCCTGAGCTGAAGTATTACTTAGCCCGGAGAATCACAGCCTGGCTCCACATTAATCTCCGAGACCGAGGCCCTAGTTCAGATCCATCAGAGGGACCCTGGGAAGTTCTGTTTGTTTTTTTGTTGTTGTTTTGTTTTAGTGTCCTCAGAGATTCTAACATGTGACACAGTTGAAAAGCACTGATAAAGTCCAAGTCGTAGAACAGTCTGAGAATAGCTAGGAAGCTGGCAGCAGCAAATCCATCTCTCTGGGGCAGAGCAAGCCCACGATCCTTGCCGTTTTACTGACGTTCTGCATAATGATAACTGGAAAATATTTTTAAAAGAAAGAAGGCCTTGTCAGCTAGAATTTGGGGCCTCATACACAGCCTTGCCATTTCCTTCTGTGCATAAAACTCTAAGCTGGGCTAATGCTACTGTTAGTGTTCCCTGGCATTCTTGTCCAAACAGAATTTGCCAGCCCTCAAACAAAGTAAACATGTTAGCAATTTCAGCAACAGTGATGGATGCAGATGATTTTGACAGTTCCTCAGTAACAGCTTAATAGTGTAATTTTACTACAGTTAGAGATAATTATTGTCACCTTAGCACAATAACTGGAATGGAGCTCCCTATGTGAAAGCTGTTCTCCTAGGGCTAAAACTGGTAATGAAGTAACAGTTTATGAGGCCAAATAAATGCCCCGTTATTCAGGTGAAAGAGACCCATTAGTCCTTCTGGGATCAAAGACTCTAGGGTCAGGCCTAGATGACCATTTCTTTCATAAACCGTCTCTGTCCAATGAGGGGAGTTTAAACAATTCCCTGCGAGACTCTGGGCCTATTTGTCGAGGTGTATTTTCCCCTACTCTGAGTAAGAGTTGACAACCTTTACGTTCTGGGACAGTTAGAGCACTCCATCCCAAAGAGTGTCAAAATAATGCAAAATTAGGAAGTTAGTAAAATAATTATAATACAGTTCTGTTAGGTAGAATCAGAAGTTTTGGTAACCAGAAATGTGGACTTTTTATTAAAAGCTCAGCAAGAACAAAGGTGGAAACATATCGGAGAGACCAGAGCTGAGAGTGAGGCTATTAAAGTGAAATGGGGTTAGCAGCAGGGATTTTCGTCCCTTGTAATCTTTTCGGTACCTACTGGCTCACTCGAATGTGTGCTGAGTACTTTGGATGGGAATGTGTGGTGGACTTCAGTGTAAAATGCAGATCAAGGCAGGGAAATAAGTTCCTCTGGAAAGGAGCACGAAGTAGCTTGATCCTGCCTGGCTGAAAATGAGTCCCAGCTCAGACGGCTAGCGTCAGCATCCAAGGGGCCAGCAAAACAAAGGAAAGAGCAGACCGGAAAACAGATTCTGCCTGATAGAAACGCTGTCCTTGAGCTTGTTTCAGCAGGAGCATGTCCAGTGCCCAAAGACTTCAGCTACCTGTCCTGTTCACGCCCTATTTTCTCGATATAGCCGCGTGTGGGTTGGAGGCTGTGTACAGGGAACGGGGAAGAGCCTGTTAATCTTCCTTCTCTACTGGCCATGTTCTCTGTGTTCATGAGTTGAGAACTCAACACCCTTTCCTTAGGGACCAGTTAGTCGTCCCTTTGCATGTGACATCACCCACTCTTTATTCCATGCTTCTCTTGTGGATGTCAAGATGCAAGAAATGGTTAAGCAAGGTCGTCCCTAGTAGCTGTTAAATAAAAAATTAAATAGGAATATTAAGAAGAAAATCTGTCTACCTGGAGATTATTGTTATTTACCTAGAAAAAGATTCCAAGGTTTATGACCACTGTCCTTGGTCACCTTAGACAGAATAGTGACTCTCCAAAGATGTCTACATTTCAATCCTCACAATCTGGGAACAGGTTGTATTACAAGAAGTAAAGGTTTCTGGCATAATCGCTGATCACTTTCAAATAGGGAGCTTTTCCTGGATCATCCATGTGGGGCTGATGTGATCACAAGGGCCTTCATAGGGGGTATGATATAAATATGGTAAATGTATAAATTTTTAAAAATATATTACAGTTACAGACACATTGCCATTAATTCTCCTCAAAATACTCCCCTGCACTTTGAACACAATTATCTCATCACTCTTGCCACATCATAAACCAGTTCTAGAAGTTCTCTTTTATGAGTGTCTTCAGTTGCACTGTCATGGCTGCCTCCTTGTCCTGAGTCAATACAAGAAGTTTACTTTTCGTGGTCGTTTTGACACTGGGGAAGACCCAGAAGTCACACAATGCCGGATCCTGTGAATCAGGTGAGTGAGGACGCACGGTGATGTTTTTATGAGCCCACCTTTCTGTTGAATGACACTGGGGAGCAGCGTTCACTGTATTTTGATCACATTTCATAAAGACATGAAAGATGTCCAGGACTGCCAAGTGACAAGAACCATGAGATAAGTGTGTTCAAAGCAAGAGGGAGTATTTTAAGGGAGATTAATGGCAATGTGTCTCTTACTGTAATACATTTTTAAAAAATTTAAACGTTCATCATATATTGTGATCACACCTCATAAATGGGGAGGTAGTCAGAAGGAGTGTCAGGATGATGTGAAGTAGAAAGACTTGCCTGACCAGTGCTGGATTTGAGGATGTGAGGGGGCCGTGAGCTAACATAAGGCACAGTCACAGATCCCCCAGATAGGAATGGCTGTCACTTGCTTAATTTTAGCCCGTTCAGACCAATTGTGGACTTCCATTTGCATAAGGCACTAAGGCTTTCATGCTTTGTTACAGCGTTAGGAAGCTTGTGTACACCTCAGCTTCTTCCATCCACTCACCCATGGGTGCCAGATGTGGAAACAAATGGAGAAGGAATCAAGGACTTAGTTGTGCTAATGTGGATCTGTGATTAGGGTCATGCATGGCCTCTTGTCAGCATCTGTCCAGCAGAACATGACTACCAAACAAGAAAGACAAGTTACCTTTCCAGACTATGTCATGAGTCATGACCCGCCACATACACGGCAGATGATAACAGGCTTTCTTCAGACTTGGAAATTTTAGAGTTACAGTTATTTGCAAGTATAGTAATTTGGAAAAGTTTCCTGTGGAAAGGGTAAAGCACTCCATATTCTTTATAGATTCATTCGTTTTTTAAATGAAAGGTTACATATCAAATATTTCAGTTGTGTCTAATCCCTTCATCAGCACTCTGCTTTTAGTAACCTTGTGGGGCGTTACAAGTCAGTGTTACTGAGAACGTTTCTCGAGTTTCTCCCATTTGGCCAACTGCAGCTGAACTTCGCTAATACAGTGTCCTTTCTAGAGTACAAGTTATGGCAGTTCAAAAAGACCTAACATGCCTTAGTTGCATCAACAGATACTAGTACTCTTAATGATATTTTCAGATTTTAGTGGTTCTTCTTGGTGGTTTCTTAAAGGATTTGATCACTGTATATATTTGGATATGTGTAAATTGTCACACTGTCTTAGAAGAATCTCGATGGGAGTCTTGTGTGTTTTTTGTTTTCATCTTGTGGTACCGAGCATTGAACCCAGGGAGTACTAAGCTACATCCTTAGCTCTTCTTTTTTTATCATTTTCCTTGAGACAGGTTCTCAGTAAATTGCACAGGCTGGCCCCCAACTTTTGACTCTCTTGTCTCATCCTCCTGAGTAGCAGGGATTGCAGCTGTGTGTGCCACCCTGCCCACGAGCAGGAGTCTTCCTAGCTAGTAGTTCCTGCTGAATACTTGGAGAACTTTCTTAGCCATTTGACTCCAAAGCCAATGAGAACTCCAACGCAAGAGGACTGTGTGGGGTGTGGGGGACATTTTTGATAGGATCCCCTTTCCCCCAGGAGTTCTGTTTATGAATAAAGGTTAATTCCCTTTGGGTGAAATATAAAGGTCCTTAAATGTGAGTTTACTGTTTTTCCCTTGGGAACATGTCTGAGGTATTATAGACATCAAGAAGAAACCAAGGGGCTGGGGATTTAGCTCAGCAGCAAAAGCGCCTGCCTGGCATGTGCAAGGTCGTGAGTTCGGTTCCCGGTACCGGAGAAAAACAAAAACAAAAACAAAAAAAAAAAAACAAATAACTGTTATGTTAAATACAACTTGTCAAGAATGCATTTGATTTACATGGCAAAGCCAAATAATGTAAATAATAGGTGTTCTGCTTTAAAATTTATTCCATTACTGACCGTAGCCCTGGCTTCTTTGTTCTGGAGCCCAGGCTCTTGTTAGAACTGTGGTCATTTCAAAGAGCTAAACCTCTCCACACGGATGGAAGCTCCTAAATTTGGTGACAGGAGGATGTGGACACGATGCTCAGAACAATGTATCTGCCTTCACTATGGCCCTTTGGGATCCTGATTTAGAATCTCCACCTCCAGCTGATCAAAGGAGCTTTATCCCAAAGAGGGAAAAGTGGTTTAAATGGCCACTTCCCAAAGTGCATTTGAAAAGCATCCTGTCAGGTGGTGAGATGAGGAAGGTAGATGGATCCTGAGAACCTTTTATCTTCATGCTCCAATTATGAAACTGAGGTTGCCGATGCTGCTGCTGGTGGAGGCCCCACGGGGCTGGAGGACGCCTTCATCCAGCTTCCCACTCAGTGAGAAGTAAGCATGTTCCCCTGGCCACTCAGTGACAGCATGGTAGCTGGGAGAAGTGGACCTCAAAAAGCATTTCCTCCAAGGGGCTGGGGATTTAGCTCAGCGGCAAAAAGTGCCTGCCTGGCAAGCGCAAGGTCGTGAGTTTGGTTCCCGGTACCAGAGAAAAACCAAAAAACCATTTCGTCCAACCCACTCATTTTACAAAAGCAGGCATTGAGGCTGGAGAAATAAAGTGGCTTGGCCAAGGTCACAAAGCAGGTGAGTGGTGGGACCCACAATTCAGGCTCCTGGCTGGGCTCCGCACGGACAGCCTCTGCAGGTGGACCTGTTTCTCTTTTTCTTTGGATGATGCTGGAGATCAAACCCAGGATCGGTCTGTCTGTCAGTGTGTCTCTCTCTCTCTGTCTCTCTCATGTGGGGCAAGTGCTGTACCACTACTATGCCCACAGTCCCCTCTTAGATCTTAAAACAAGATGTGGGTGATTTGGCAACTTTAGGACTTGGTCCCATTCCACACAATATGGAGGCAGATCTTTGGGGGCTCCAGGGCCACAGCTGGCCAGAGCTAGTCGCGGGCAGGACAGCTGCCCCAGTGCCTGCATTGTTCACACTGAGTTAGAGCTCTTACCCAGGAACACACAGCAGCACACTTGAGAAACACAACAAGCAAAACTGTAATTCTGCATCCCTTTATTTATAAACGAGTCAGGAATGCTGTGTTCCATTTGGGAGCAGGGGAAGGGGGAGGAGGTACCAGAAGAGGGGCTGATTCCAGTAGTTTGCATTATTCAGCACCAGAGCAAATCAAATGCTTGGGCATAAGGTCGTGCTACAACACAGATGGGTCATATTCTTGTCTTCTATGTACAGCAGAGTCTTAAGTATGTATGTTTTTCTTATGGCTTTGTCCCTGGACATATTGCAGACACACACACACACACACACACACACACACACACACACACCCTGAAACAAAAACCAGAGAGGAGTCACAAGAGGAAGAGAATAGAAGTTGCATATGCCTCATGAGCTATTTCTTTTTTTAGACTCAGATGGGCTGGACCAGTGCTGACTGGATGCCCGCAACACTGGCGCATCTCTGCTAGATAGGGGCTCATCTGATTCAGCCGAGCCAGTGACGTCATGTCACATCTCTCCCTGGGGTATGGCTGGGTGCTAAAATAAGTTCTGAAGACGGAGAGAAAATAAATCTGTGCTCTTCTTGTTCCTTCCTTAAAGGACGGAGTCAGCATCTAGTAGCCTAAGAGACCGAAATCCCACACCAGTGTCTCTTCCACCCAGAGCAAGTCAGGGGCCAGGCGACGTCTGTGTCCTGCTCCTTGCACGGCTGCCTCGCCTTTGCCTTTGCCTTTGCAAGGACCTGGCGCCCAGGAGCTTGTGGCCATTCAGTGTGACTGTAAGTAACAGTCTGGCCTCAGGTGCTTAGCTTGGAGGAGGAGGTCAGCACTTAATCTCAGGGTCCCTGTCAGGAAGGTGTGGAGTGCTGAAAGGAGAAGCGGGGACCCCAGCCGCTGCATGGCTCTCCACTAACCTTGGAAGTTGGTACTGTAACAGAAACCCTTCTCCTTCACCTGGTAGGGGCTAAGTGAACCCTTGAAAGGGAGTAGAAAAAGCGGCACACTCCCGATCCCCACCCATTCTGTCCCGTGTTCTCCCATCTTCACTACCTGCCCCTCCATAATCCTAAAGCGCTGCCCACAAGCCCTCCTCCCTCTGAGGTCTCCTTCCATTCCCAGAGCAAAAAGCATCTCTTTCCTTGCTTTCCATCACTTCTGCTCACCTCCCCAAGATTGCAGTGCATGTTCCCTATTTCCTGGTTCAGCCTTAACTCACTCTTGGCCATGACGGTTGACTGGATGGCCCAAAGCCCAGGCCCAGCTCCTCCTGGGTGCAGGGAAGGTAGGTGACAGGGGCTGGGAGAGACAGAGAAATACCCACGAGTATCAAAGCCTGGGTTATGGAATCTTCCCCACTCCTCCTCAAGAAGGTGGGGAGGTTTTGCTGAAGGTTAGAGGGATGAGATGTAGAACCCACTCACGGGTTATTTTGGCCCTTCCCTGGAGTATCCCAGGCCTTGGTCATTTCCCACAATTGGCAGTTGTGGTGGCACTATCTGATGAGTCACATACATGGCACTTGTCAATGTGGTGTGTGAAGCCTGCAAATTTAGAGCCAGCCTGATGTATCAGTCCCAGAGTTTGCTTTAGAGCAGGACTCCGGTCAAAGGGGATCTGTTTGCCCTGGGCCATGGAATCAGAGCACAAAATGGCTTTCCCAAGCAAGTTTCACCTACAGAATGAGGCCCTGAAATGGCTTAACAGAGCAGATTTTCTTTATCTTCCTTCCCTCTGTCCAGGAGCCTTTTATCTGTTTTCTCTTCCCCTGTTCTCACCACCTTCCCTTACCTGGCTTGTCATCATGTTCTTTCACTGCTACGTGTGTCAATCAACTGACGCGGCAGACACACGAGCCCCGTTTGTCCTGGGAGCTCAGTGGGAGTCAGTATGGAAGAATGGAGCCCTCTCCTCTCTCTCTCTCTGGAGAATGATGTGAAAAGGGAGGATCGTGACTGATAAAGGAATATTCCCTCTCAGAGACCATCTTTCTGCTTGCCCTCAGTCCTGTACAAATGCTTTTCAGAATTCTGGAGAAAGTGCCAGGAACAAGGAGGTCCCAAGCCACCTTAGCCTCATAGCTTTGCTTTCTAATAAACACCACTTGTCTCCAGGTAGGCAGGGAGGTAGTTCGACCCCAACACAAAGGGGAGAGACATGCCATCTTCTTTCACTGGTTTCTCCCAGAAAGCTGATTCCCAAGGTCTCTGAAAAGGGCTTCTTCTGTCACAGGGAGTGCTGGGATCTGCCCACAAGTTGTTGGTTGGGGCCTCTGCCCAATCATGTCCCAGCTCTGTCTGACTTTACCAGCATAACCAGGCAATAGCTACACCTGCCCAAGAGTTGGGTACTGAACCTTGACTTTACCTGCCCGTTTCCAACATGCGATTAGGCAGCAGTAACTTCACACAAAGACTTCATGTGGCAAACCTAGGTGCCAGACATAGCTGCAACACCACCTAGACTGTTCAGTTAACTAAGCCCACAGCCCTCAAAAAAACTCTTCAGATCCTTCCTTCACCCAAAAAATGTTATGGTAGACCGTGAGAACAACAGTAATTTCCTGGTTGGGGCAAAATATTTCTATGGGAATCTGGCATGAGCTTCTGCCAAAGTGTCCAAGTCACAAGGGAACCAAATGGTTCTTTAGATCAAGGATTTCAGCAGGGTATTAGGGTAGAGAGCAGGAGAGGAGGATATTGGAAAATGCTACCACCATATAACTCATCGCGTATGATACACACCCTGGGATAGCATTATTTGGAGCATACATAGAACAGATACGTGCAGGTAGCACCCCCTATCAGTATACTATGTGTTTGGTACATCGAACTGTTACTTGAGGCCTATGAAACCGTTAACTGGTCAGAAATGGGAAAGCCATTCCATAATAGCATCCTTTAAGAGAAGCTTCAGGAGACATTTCTTATCTGCCAAATTTGGAGTCAATGCAAAAGCAGCTCCTCTTTCTTTTTCAATACAGGATGTTTTTCCTTGTTGCAGTTCCCACAGGTTAAGGTAATTTCTGGAAAACAGTGAAGTCAAACCAATGATGAGAAAGTACAGCCAGGAACATATTAGGCCTTAGATGGAGTTCTCCTCAACAAAACTGTCCTTTGAATGAGAAGTTAAGGTTCACACCAGGCCACCTTTTACATCTGGCCCCAGCGGGGCTTCGTTTCTGAGCTGTGGTCCTGCAACTGGAATGAGTTCATGTGTTGCAACATCAAGTCTTAGTGGCTGAACTGAGAAGGCTGGAATTTGTCTCTTAACTCGACTATTTCAATAGCACTTTGCTGCCTCTATTGGAAATGAATTTATTCTGGCAGAGCTTTTGGGTGGTAGGAGGCAACGTGCAGGGCCTTATAGAGGCAGAAGTAGCAGGTTGAGGGAACAGCCGCGTCCACAAGTGGTTTACTTGATGGGGATGGGTGTATAGACCAAAGCAGAGGTCACCCCTCTCCATGAAAGACCCTCTGAGGTGCTCTGCACTTTTCCTTAGCAAGGTTAAAGTAGAGTGGTTCTAGATGATGCTAAGAAGATTGTACAGGTTGTCCAGCTGGAAACCTCCATGCTGAACCCATGCTGGGCTGTGTGGAGAATGAGGGAGAACGGGTCCCAAGACCTTCCCTTAGCAGACCTCAGGGTCTCCCTGCGGAGCAGCAGCTCCTGTGACTCTTTCCCCTCAGACACCACCCAGCATCCCCCAGAACCCCTCTCCTCATCCTGCGTGGTGTGGCTCCTGCCTGACAGCCACCTTTACTTCTCATCCTCATCCCCCTCACTCATGCTGCTGATGGAGGCTGAGGCAGCTTTGGGCGAGGATGGGGGCGAGGTTTTGCTTGGGAGCCATGAGAAGGTGGGTGATGGGGAGCGGGAAGGGGACCGGCTTCTGGTTGGGCTGCTCACAGGACTCTGCTTCGGGGATAAGGCCTGTAGCATCCGGCTACTCCTCTCCTGGAACATCTGTTTCTAGAGAGAAATTTGAGAGAAAACTTGGGTTAACATAACAATATCAGGTGGCAGCAAAACAAAAGGAAAGGCAGGGAGGAAAGGCACCACCCTGAAACACCTACACCCACAAACACAGACTTGTACTACATTCCATGTTTTTGAAGGCTAGCATGGTTTGGATACTAAATGTTGCCCACAAAGTTAATGTGTTTAAAAGCTTGGTCCCCAGCTGATGGTGCTATTGGAAGGTGATGGAAACATTAGGAAGTGGGCCTAGAGGAAGGAAACCTTAAAGGGGGTATTGGGTCCTTGCCCCTGTCCCTTTCTCTTTTTACTTCCTGGACACCATGATGTGAGTAGCTTTGCTCCATCATCATGTGCTCCCCACCATGATGCTTGGCCTCACCACAGGCCCAAAGCAACAGGGCCAAGTGACATGGGCTGAAACTGTGAGCCAAAATACCTTTATTTCTTTTAAGTAGTTAATATCAGGTATTTTATCACAGTGATGGAAAGGTGACCAACACAAAGGCTGTGAGTGCCAAGGAACTGAGTGTGAAATTCTGGAACGGTGAGATGCCAACCCATAAGATTACAATCACTGTTGGTTCTTCGGATTCTTTCCTTCCCTTCTTTTCTTCCATTCACATAGTTTTACTGATTATTATTTCCCAGGCAAATGGTAATGTGCTAGATTCTGGAGGGATAAGATAAAACAAAAAATCTCTGTCTTCATGGATATGAGGAGAAATCACATAATAAACAAGATATGTGATATGTTAGATGGAATTGTGGTCTATAAGTAAGATAAGATAGCAAGCTGGGGTTGGGTCAGGGGGCTGTAATTATAAATGGGATGCTCATGGAAGGCCTCACTGAAAAATGTGATTTGAACAAAGGCCTGAAAGAGAGAAGAGAGGAGCCTTGTAATGATTAAGCTTAATTGTGAATGTGACTGCATTAAGAGACCCTTGGAGAGGTGATTGGATCATGAGGATGCTATACTCATCAGTGAGTTAGTGCTCTGACATTCGTAGCCGAATGCGCTGTCAGGAAGGGACGCCCCACTGGAGGTGGTCACTGCGTATGGCCTTTGGGAGCATATCTCTCACTGGTGCTCTCCCCTGAGCTGCTTCCCAGCCACTAGCAATTGAGCAGCTGTGCTCCACCCCGCCCTTCCACCATGGTGTTCCTGCCTTCTGATCAGCCAATCACAGATTGAAACTTCTGAAACCAAAGGAATCTCTCCTCTTTTTAAGTGTGGGTGTCAGGTGGTTTGTCCTAGCAAGAGGAAAGCTAACTAATACAGACCTCATGAGTAGAAATTACTGAGAAGCACATTCCAGGCAGAAGACCCCAGGAGGGGAGCACATGAAATGCCAGGAAGAGCAAGCAGGATGTGACGCTGGCGTGGGGTCTGTTGGGTGAGGAATAGGATGAGGAAGGGAGTTAGGAGATCACCAGGGAGGCAGTAAGGGCTGTGCCACTGAGGGTCATGGCAGCCATTATGGAAAGTGAGTCTTTCACACTGAGGAGAATCACGCAGGCACGTTCAAGGGGAGGAGGAAGGCCGTCATGGCAGCACTGGAGAGGATTAGTGAGCAGGAAAGAGTGGGAGGAGTTGGGGGAGATTAGGCCAGAGAAATCACAGGGGATTGTTTCACATAGGGCTTTCTCTGAGAAGAGAAACCTCTGGAGAGTCCTGAGCACAGGCGTAACAAAATTTATTTTTTGTTTTCTGAGGACCACTCTGGCTGGTCTGCTTGAAACAGGCTGCAGCGAAGCGAGGCCAGCAGCAGGAAGACCATCGAAGAGCCCATCACGATAGCAATCCAAGAGTAGGATGGCCCCTTGTGCAGGGTGACGGCGATGACGATGGTGGGAAAGCCTGGATCCCAGTATATTTTGCCCTGTATTTGTACTAAGCTATAGTAAACTCACCCTTTTTCATGCACGGTTCTGTGAGTTTTGGCAAATGCACAGTGTATGATCACCATCACATTCAAGACGGCAGGAGAGTTTCGTCAGCCCCCAAATTCCCTCAAGACTCTTTTTAGCCGCTGCCACCACCCAGCTTCTAGCAATAGATGTGTTTTCTGTCCCTACAGTCTTGCCTTTTCCATAGCATCATTAAAATGGAATCCTACAATATGTGGTCTGGCTATATTTTAAGGGTAGAGCCAATAGGACTCACCAACAGACGGGCTGTGGCACGGAGGAGGGAAAGGAACCAAGCGCTCTGGTTTCCGGCCTGTGAAAATGCAAAGCGGCAGTGCCGTTTGCTGGGGTGGAAAAGGCTGTGCGGTGGGAGGAGGTCTTTGTTTTACGCTTCGGGGCTTCAGGTGACCATTGCCTGGTGCTTTCAGAACTGAGCTCTTCCCTGATGCTGTTCCCTTCAGTCTTCTGAGAAATCCAGTCCCAGCACTGAGCTCCTGCCTGGCAGGCCTCCAGGTGCCACCAGCCCTCCTGGCCTCCTGTCCTTTGCCTGCTGCTCACCTCCCGTCGTGCTCTATTCCCCAGACGTCTGAGTGCTCTGCCTGCGCTGCCTGGTGTCCTTTGATTGCTCATAGCTGAGCCTTGGCCCCTGCGGTCAGTCCAACTTTTTGATCCTGAACTAACCCTGAAAGCCAATTTTCCTACAGGTTCAGTAGCCTTTATCCAGAATCAGAAGTGTTTCAGATTTTGGAATATTTGCATATACATAATGAGATATCTTGGGGGGTGCGACCCAAGTCTAAATACAAAATTCATTTGTTTCATATACACCTTCAGTACATAGCCTAAAGGCAATTTTATGCAGTATTTCTGATGTACTTGTGTTTTGCCTGTGGCACGTGAGGGCAGGTGTAGAATTTTCTACATCTGGCACCATGTTGACACTCAAGAAGTTTTATATTTGGGAGCATTTCCTATTTCAAAGTTTTGGATGAAGAAGGGGCTGGGGATTTGGCTCAGAGGCAAAGCGCCTGCTTGGCAAGCGCAAGGTCGTGAGTTCAGTTCCTCGTACCGGCGAAAAACCAAAAAAAAAAAAAAAGTTTTGGATGAAGAATATTCAACCTTTACTAGCTATTTTAGACTTTGCTTGTCACCTGGGTGGTTCATTTTACAAATTATGGAGGCCCTCTGGAGACCAGGTGCTGCACAAGGAGAAGGGGAAGATAAGGACAAAGGAGGCGGCCAGGTCTGAGCTGGATCTTTCACAGTACACTAGAAGAGGGGCTGGAGATGGAGGCTGGGCCTGTGGGGACTCGTAGAGGGGAACTGGCTTTCCGTAGAGAGGGTGCAAGCAAAGAGTAGTAAGTACGAGTTGCTTGGCATGACTAGAATCCCAAGCACCTACAGGGTGGCAGTAGCCTAGGCCTGAAGCACCATAAGGAAGTGTACTACCTCCCCAAGAGCCCCAGGAAAATGTTAGCTAAGGAAAAGGTATGATCAGATTTGTGCCTTAGAAATATCTTTGAGTGTGAGCACAAAAGCAAAGAAAGAAACCATGAAAGAAAAGATTGATGCTTGACTACACAAAAATAAAATTTTTACACTTGAAAAAAATGCCATGAAATAAAATTAGGGAAGCTAAAAACAATAGGGGAAAAATTTGCAACATTTAACTACAGGGGCTGGGGGTGTAACTCAGTGATAGAGAGCCTGTGTGGTCACGTGCAAGGCCCTGGGTTCCATCCTGAGCAACACAAAAATCAATTTAAAAAATAAATACAAATTATAGGTCCTGGGGGGCTGGGGATTTAGCTCAGCGGCAAAGCGCCTGCCTGGCAAGCACAAGGTCGTGAGTTCGGTTCCCGGTACCGGAGAAAAACCAAAAAAAAAAAAAAAAAAAAAAAAAATTATAGGTCCTGGTATATAAATAGTGCTTATAAATAAAAAACTAAAAACTTTAATGAAAAAAGGAATATGGTGTGTGTAGGCAATTCACAAAAGAAATTTATAAATGAACTATAAAAGTGTTCAGCATCACTAGTAATCAAATAAATGCAAATTACTGAAATGGGATACTTTTTATACATCAGGTTACTAAAAGCTTTTTAAAGTCTGTGATGGCTAATGCAGATGTGGGTGCAGCGAAAGAGCACATTTATGTTTCTCCTGGTAGGAAGCTAACATAGCAGCCACTATTCTGAGGGGTTTCAAGCAGCCTGCTTCAAGCAGAGCAGCCAGAGTGGTTCTCAGAAAAAAAAAAAAAAGCTATGTTTGCCAGAGGAGATAATGAAAGATGTAAGTAAATCTTTATTGTGTATATGGATATTCCTTGAAGTGTTCTGGCAGACAAAACTGCGAAACGCTAAATAGGTTACAAAATAATCACACAACTCCAAAGTGACATACATACTAAGCAGCTGATGAAGATCAGGTTCTTCAGGGATATTTAATAATATAAAAAATACCCGTGAGTGATCGCAAAGTCAGACTGATTTCAGATTACCACGTGCTGTATGAGTTCAATGATGTGGAAAGAATGTATATAATTTACATGGAAGAAAGATCTGGGCAATGGGACTGCGGGTGGTTTTTCGTTTCCTTTTAGTCTTTTTAATAATTCTGTAATGAATACAGCCTTCATATCTGCGAGTCCCACAGCCCTGGATTCAACCAGCTGCAGATCAAAAATTCTGTCTGTGAAGAACATGTGCAGACTTTTCGCTTATCGCTGTTCACTTACACGGTACAACAACTACATACATGCCATTATATTTTATTAGGTTCTATAAGTCATCGCAAGGTGGTTTAAAGTGTAGGGGAGGGTTAGGCAGGTTACGTGAAAATTCCACACCATTCGATATAAGGGATTTGAGCATCTTCAGATTTTGGTATCTGAGCGAAGTCCTGGGACCAGTCCCCTACAAATACTGAGGGATGACTGCGTATTACTTTAATCATCATAAAATAGCATTACGGCAGGAAAAAAGGATGATAACTCACGTAACCGGGGCAAGAAGATCAGGTAGAAGAACAGGCCCGCAATAATGACATAGGTGAGAGATATTAAGACTTCAGGCATATTA